ACCCATGCGTCCATGTTGGAGAGGCATTCTTTTGATTGTACTGCCACATCCACCCACGCGTCCATGTTGGAGAGGCAGCCGTGGACATGTTCCCACAGACACGTGTACATTTATGGCACCATTGTTTTACAGTCTTTACCCACTTGCCACTTCGCCCTCATGTCACTTCACCAATGGCTTTTGTCAACATTGAAAGGAGAGGAAGTCACAGAAAAACAACTAATCCCTCCAGAATTCATCCCCAATGCCAGAAAAGATAAAAGATTAAGTAGGAATGCTAAGATGTAGTGAATTTTGAGACTGTCAAGATTTTCTTTGATGGTACATGTAAGTCCATGCAAAGAAAACAGGCTCGTTGCACATAATAAGAAACGCATCAAATGATTGGGAGTCTGAGCGACTCCCGGAGAACACAAAGTACATTCCGAATCTTGACAATCCAAAACTGACATGAAATGGTTAGAAACTTCAGATATATTTCAGTGATTTAGTTCACAGAATTAGAGTTATCTTCAAACATCAAGATATTTTCGGTTTTTCTGAAGGTCACAGTGCTCGCTGTTGCAAAACTTCGGAGCATTGTATAACCCACACGTAAATCATGCTTTGAAAATTTTTCTGTTGTCTAAATCTTTGTATATTGATTATTGTTACCGCAATGTTGCACTCAATAAACCTGTTAAAAAGATACTGAGACTTATCTGTTAATCACAGGCCTACTTGTTTGTAAAACTAGGGCGTGCATTATTACCAAGCAAAATCTTGTGTGGGTGAAGTGACACATGGCAAAGTGGCACATTGGAGAAGTTGTAAATGGGCAAAGTGGCAAATGGGCAAAGAGGCATGTGAGCTGAGTGGCACATGGAGGAAGTGGTTGTGGGCGAAGTGGAAAATAGGTGAAGTGACTGACACTGGTGCTATTTATGTGCATGTAAATGTACTGCATGAGTGAACCCTCATGTACATGTAGTTTGGTTTTCAGTACACCGAACCGTATATCCTTCTTGTTATGTTGAGATAAAGATGAAAAGACCAGATCATCTATACACTTTTCAAACTTAAGGTTCAAGAACTTTACAACAGCAACAATAAAGGCAAAGTAAGACATAAATGAAAGATTCCACTGTGAAGGCATGCTTACCAACTGCCATGGGAATAATTTGGACTGTGTAAATTTGTACTTTCAATTTGGTTGCAACATAATACCAAATCATGGGCCATTTTCCAATACTCAACTACTCTCCATCTTACGGCTGTGCCGAATATTCAGATAACCGAATATTAGATCGATTATTGAAGATTTGAATGTTATTTTCTGAATTTGATATTTAAATACGAAATTCATGAAAAGGAAAATTTTCTTTTGTCTTAAATGAGAAAATTGCACATGGAGGCTTGTTTCAAGTAGATTCAAATGAAAAGCATTAGAAATCTTACAATGATTCAAAAGTAAATTATTCATTAAACAATTTAAAAGGAATAGAAATTTTCAACAGGGCAAGGAGTATTGTTCATCTCCTAAATCTTACTAAATTGTAACTGGAGATACTCCTAGATGTGAGAAGCTATTACATTGATTATAATGTACAATTGTGTGCATTTTGCAACTGATATGGTTTATTCATCAACAATCTGCTGGTCGATACGACCAAACATTCGAATATTCTATCAAATTGAAGGTCAAATATTCAAATAGTGAATTATTCGAATTGACTCAGCCCTACTCAATCTCAAGCTTCGTCGGTTTTTAACCACCTTGCTTTGAAGTCATTAGCTCAAAATAAGTAAGCCCCATAGTGCCAAAGGAGAATCAGATTAGATACAAAAGAGCAAAGTACTGTTTTGTTGTACTTCAACTTAATTTGAATGCTGTGGGCCTATGTTGTACATGTACACCAGAGATGTAGATGAAGTTGCATTGAATTTCAAATGAAATTCAATATGAAAATGGTCATAGCAATGCTTACTCCTTATGTTGTTATATGAGTGAGCCTTATGCAAGTGGCCTTCATCACTCATTTGTGATTAGCGTCTGTTAGTGCATTACACAACTGGCTGATTGACCATGATGGAATTACTGACACAGACCAGAGGATTGGATGGCCTCTGTTGACTATTGAACATGATGCACAGTGGGGGTATTTCAGACACAACATTATTGATTACTGCTGAGGGTATTGTACATGGACACTGTGTTCCTTGGTTCATGGGTTGCATGTCCAAGATTTTATTGCTTGTATTTAATCATGTTAATAGTATACATATATCTCAGAGGTCCTTATAATGCAAAAAAGAGATTTTCCTGAAATACTGTCCAACTTATATGTACTTGGCATCACCAGTGTACCATATGCAGAATTGCACATTTTACAAGCATCCTTCAAAATTTTTTAAACTTCTATTTTTATAATGGTAGCTGGTCAAGATGTCCATTGCATTTGATAGTGTTACATGTTTGCATAGGGAAAATCATACTGACTTCTTTATTTTGATGTACTTGTATCATTCATGTTGACATCCACATATAATGTATTGACATATACATTGTATATTCTGTTCCCTCAGAAATTAACTCCTGTAGTTACCTTTCTTTTTCTAACATAAAAATTCATCATAAAATTACATTAGGCCCAGATCTTCGCCTTCAAATTTGGTGACAAGGTCAAGGGTATAATTTCTCAGGATTTTTGCAACATTTCAGGATTTTTGACACCAAAATTTTGGTTGAGAAGTTTATTCAGTTATTCCTTTTCGACAAAAAAGGGGCGAGATGCAAACGATAACAGTCATTTGGGAGAAAACCCACATTTTGTTAGCTAAGCCCTGAAAAGTCACATTTTCTTGATGTCACTGCTGGAACCGCTGTGCTGGATACTTCATAGATTTTTTCTTCCTCCCCCAATCTCACCCCTTCAATGTTCCCTTGTATTTCCTGCAGGTTAGCCCCCAGGAGATGGTGCAGGAGATCCACCAAGTCTTGATGGACCGGGAAGACACCTGCCACCGCACCTGCTTCTCCCTGCAGCTGGACGGTAACGTCCTGGACAACTTTGCCGAGCTGAAGAGCGTCGATGGCCTGAAGGAAGGCTCGATCGTCAAAGTGGTGGAAGGTGAGAAAACCTCAGTAGTGGGGTTGCACCCACAACACTCTCCTATTTTTAAATTTTCTTTTAGGGATATACCTTTCCTTTGCCCTGCAGGGGTGAGATTTATCAGGATTTTTCCATCAAGATTGTTCTGATTTCAGGAGTATAAAAAAAAATCTTTAACTGTAAAAGTTATTTTACATTCATGCACATACATGTACATAAATGTTTATATAGAAAACAAGAAATGGGTATTTTGAGGGACGGCTTTAGGCAAACAAATTTATGCCATAGACTCTATGTTGTGGTGGTTTTCAAAACTTCCATCCACCATTTTGTGGATATTTAACTTTCTCCCCATCTCACTCTTGGCCTTGTCTTTTGCTGTGAACATAGCGACATGTATTTAATTCATAGAAGTGTTTAGACTTGAGATATCACTAAAAATGTCCCCCATTAGTGTGTTTGAGTTCACCTCAGTTTTTGTTGATCATACAATGTTTGGGCTCTTTCTTTAGTAAAAGCTGGATCCACCATTGCATTCAATAATATATCACAGTGGATGTTTAGACGATGATGATGCCATTGATGTCATAGTAAATCTCGATGATTAAAACTCCCACTTCCTTTTCTCGGAACCTTCCTGAATCCTCCAAAGATCTGACTGTACAAGAAACTGCATTCTTTGTACGAAGACTTTGACTGGGGCATCAAGCCCAATGTAAATGCAACAGTAGCAAGAATCAGCAGTCCCTAATCCTATAACATTTTTTAAAGGCAATCCAAGCAGATTTTGAAGGATTTAAGTAGGATTTGAGTCTGAGAGAAGTTTTGATTTTTTGTTGTGTTCTTTTAGCAGTGATATCCAAAACCAGCGCAAAGGTTTCAATTTTTGTTTTGTTCTGCTCTCCTAAGATTTTTATGTATTTTTTTAAGAGTGATCGCTGAAAGAGTGAGAAATACTGTGGAACGAAAAAAAATAAAAATTTATAGTCAGTTTTAGGCACTGAAGCACTCTAGTTTCAGAGGCAATCTGGAGTTTTTCCTCAAATGAATAGTGCTGTTATGATTTGTTGTTTCTGTGGTAATTTATTGATGTGATGTAACTTTGGTTCCATTCTGTACAGAACCGTACACGGTAAGAGAGGCTCGAATTCATGTCCGTCATGTCAGAGACCTACTGAAATCCCTGGATCCTTCTGATGCTTACAATGGTGTGGACTGCCAGTCTCTGTCCTTTCTAACCACTGTTTTGAACGATGGTAAGCAGAAATGTATAGATCTAATTGCTTTTATTGTATGTGTAGGTGTCATGTAAGGTTGCTAGCATTCCTGATCTTAGTACATATTTGGTACATTTATTTGGACCCATTCCTTGCTATATTTTTAAAGTAATGCTGTGTCAGTCAGGACAGTGCAGTGAAGACTTTTTCACTGCACAGTTCTTGGAGAATTCAGAGGTTGTCAAAAGGGGAGCACCTGACACATTTTATAAAAGAAATCACAACTTGTGACATGAAGATCTTAAAGATGACATTTACATGTATGTCAAAGTATGTGGTGACATAGAGAAGTCTAGGGTCCCTGGAAAGGTGGGATCAGCTAGGAAAGTTTATTCACAAAAATGTTCAGTTTATTCTTGTTTAATTGTTTTCCCCAGATCGTAAGCGCACAAAGTCGTCAGACTCAGTGGATTGCACCCCGCCAGAGTACCTCATGCCACTCAGCAAAGAGCGCCCTCTGTCCCACCTTCAGCCAGTCCACAAGGAAAGTCGCAGCCCGACGTGTCTGAAGGTGCTGACTGTGTCGGGCTGGAACCCACCGCCGGGTACCAGGAAGATGCATGGTAAGCGAAAGGGAACACACTTCATTTTTGAGGTTAAGATGTACATCTACAACATAAACTATCTGTATATTTTGGATTTCTTTGCATTCGTTGAATTTGTGACTGCATTCCAAAGAAAGAATTTGAACAAATTCTTTTCCATAAATTTGTTTTCAAATCCAGTAGAAAGAATCTTTATTGATCTTCATAGCACTTGGTTTGGCATTCTGAAAAATATGATCTACTCTTTCTTCATCATAGTCATATTTTTGCCTACCAGTGGCTGGTAAAACTTCGGCCAGACATCATTACAAAACTAAAAGAATGTTTCACTAAATGTTGAAAAATGTAGCACTGCTATCAACACACCCAAGAACAAACACTGCTCTTTAATCATAAACAAAAATAAGATCCTCTTTAAAAGTGATGGGCTAAATCCTCATTTTAAAATGTATAAAGGTAAAATCTGCCACCAGCTAAGGGTGATATCTCTGCAAACTTTGGCTGCCCATCTCTACAGATGAAGATTCACCACAGCATTAAACTTTCCAATTGATTTTCACTGTGATTAGTTCTTGTAAGACTTGAAACCCAGGAGTTGTTCTAGAGACCTTGCACGCATTTTGCTAGGTTGGGTCCCATAAGATACTCATAGGAGGTTTGAATTCAGTGTTGAGCATGTTTCCTGTAGGCTGCTCGAGAGCATTGTGAATATAATTGATTGTAACTCTGCTTCCTGTACTTCAATTACTCCTTTGCCCTGAACATCCTTTTTGTGTTCTTTTTTTTTATCAACAAGATATCATGTCAATAATTCAAGGCAGACTGTTCTGCCTCTCAAGCAAAACAGGAAATTCATGTTATCGCCATCTCTTTGTCCATTTGGGTTTTACACGTGACTGAACGCACGTGTCTCTTTGAAATGTTCAACTCAAACTGTTTATTTATCATACTTGTGGTTTGGGTTTCACTAGAATTTTTTTTGCAGTCTTACGTAAATATACCGGTATGATTGACATTTTTTTACTGCAGTCCAATATCCGAAGGTGTATGGCTCCAGTCATGGGTACAGATTTTATCACAAGACATCAAAGTGAAAAAAAGGAAAGTTCAACATCTGTTGTCAGTTTCTTTGATAGATCTTGTTTTTAACACATTCCCAGAAGTCTTCAAGTTCAGTGCTTCATTTAAAAGAGAGAAAAAAATGAAGTACTGAATGTTGTACATTCTCCAAGAATGATGCACATTTTCTGTCATTCATAATCTAAGTATGGCATGTTGTTTAAAAATGTGCTCTTATCTTAGGTACATGTATATTTTTCTAAGTACTGGTAATTTGAAATAAGTGCTGTTTGGTATATTTTTAAAATATTGAACAGTAGATTTTCCAAGGATTAGTGTTCCTGGTTTTTCCTTGTGTTCAAAACGGTGTCAAGTGTACCGGTACCTTTGATTAGAGCTGCACACATTCAGAATTCAAATCGAAAATTCAAATATTAAACATACGGTACACTGAGCATGTATGAGCATAAAACGTAAAAGCTGTAATTTCTAAATGTATACGGTAATTTCAAAATTGGCATGTTTGTCCAAATTACATGTACCTGAAAATGAAACAGTTCTTTGCTACATGTACATGCTACATACAATTAGGGCCAAAAGTTTAACACGTACATGTACTTTATACACTTGGTGGAAAAACAGTTTCCTCAATTTTTTGCTGGTTGAAATACCGGTAGTTTTGCCAACTTTTTCTTTATGAGGTTAGACAAATTGTGTCTGAACTTAATGTGCATAGTGTGTACTTCAATCAAAAATACTGAGAGACAATTTATTATGATTCAAAATATTAAAATTTCTAAAAAAATCGTGAAACTTGAGGAAAACTGTTTTTGTTCCACCAGATATATATGTATGTAAACTTTTTGCCCCAATTGTAAATTGTATTTCTCCACCCTTGGAGCATGCCAAGATCATATCAACCTGTACATGTCGGCTGAAGCCTGTCCAACCTCTAAGCACTTGTCCGAATTACAAGATAGTCACTTAGAGGTATTTAAGAAATGTTCATGGCTACATGTACATACAGTAGCAGCATACGTAGGCCATAGATGGATATTGATGCTGTATACATTGTAAGGTTGAATAACTGACGTACATGCATACAAGCAAGCATAAATGGTTTGGCTATTGAATCCCACAACAAGATGCCCATTCAGAAAGTTGTGCACATTGTGGCCTAGTTATTTTTATGAATCCTGACTATGATCTGCGATGTGTTTTGATGGCTCATAAATGGTACAGTGTAATTGTATCAACCATAAGCCGTGTTCCCAGTGGACTTTTTTGGTTAACTCACCGCGACTTTCTTGTAGAATTACAAAATTAAATCCAATGGGAACACATGATAAACTAATGTCCCTGTCAACTTACTGCGATAGCAATGTAAAACTAACAGGCCAAAAAGGGTTGTGGAAGATTTCCGCACAGCCACGGTAAGTTAGCAGGGGTGCAAAAAAGTCCAACTGGAACAGTTCTCGTACAATGCTAAACATGCGAACCAGACTGCTGCCTACACAGAGATCGATAACAGGCACGCAAAAATGGTTGTACGGTTCCTAGTCTCCAGCTCCGGGCATACAGTACAGCAGCATGCAGCGCACACACAGTGAAGTGTGTCTGGATAAAGCTGTACACATATTGTGGGTTCATCTTCTTTGTGGCAGATTTGGCCAAATTCATCTGATTTTTGTCTTTGTTTTTGTCAAATTTTGCCGATTTCGTCATGGTATGTACAGCGCAGGCAATGTAATCAGCTGGTCTTATTAGGCCTAACACAACAAAAAACATTCCATTAGGGTAAAAGGAAGTCCACATGGGAATGCGTGGTAGATTGACATGAAAGAATGTCACAATAAGTTACGGCGTGCCCGTGGAAGAAAATGGCTGTTGACACTGGCACTGGCTGACAACATGGCTGTTGACACTGGTTGAGTGTTTTGGGCAGTTTGTTGGCACGAGTAGCTGAGACTTTTGTTCTGTTTATGTTCACGGGTATGAAGGCAGAAACACTTCATGTTCAAAAAAAAAAAAAAACCCAATAAGTTGCTGGTGTTGTGCTTGACTGTATGCTTTTTTAAAGATGAGTTGTTTTGCACAATAATGTGTGCATATTGTATACCATGTCACTGGCATAGTACATGTTTGTGTCAGGAGCAGATAAATGATTCTGATTCCATGGTACGCATCTCGGCGTTTCACGTTTATCTTGAAAGCAAAAACAGCTGTCTACATCTATTAGCAGATAGCAAGAAATTTTACTTTTGTAGTTGTACATGTATGCTTGTCAAGACAGTAATTTGTACATATTTTATATTCTTCAAGTGATTTTCTCTTTTTTTGAGGTATCAGTAACATTTACAAGATTTTCATAAACTTGTTTGGAGTCACTTATACTTTCTTGTATTTTTTTGTTACAATGGTATAAGTCTGTGTGATATTTTTACCTGTTTTATTTTGTGAAAACTTTTTCTAAAAGCATTGCTTCATTTCCTGATCAAGAACATGCTATTGACCAGTAAATGCATACACATGTACAAGTCCAAATGCGTTATTCACATTTTCTCCAGGTAGGTTTTCAATAAGGAAACAAGGCGGTAAAAAATATGTGGCATTTTAGCATGTGGCACCCAGCCCTGAACAGACGGAACACTAGTCAGTTTGATTCTTGTCCGGGGCCATCCAGATTCCGGGCATTCTCTGGTGAGCCTACTGATGCTACTAATAGGCATAGGCATGCAAGGCAGTTCTGGTCAAGCGACAGAGGCCTCCAACCCTGAAATAGCCACCGGTCAAGATGTTAAATAAAATGTAGTGGCTGGAGTAATAGCCCTGTTGACTGGTTGTTGTCTTCTATATTGCATTATGCTGCAGCTTTGGAAAAAGGAACCAGACCACTCTGTAATGAATGGATCTCAAATTTTATTTCCCTAAACAAATTCTCCAAGGGTAAGAATCTACCCCCCCCAAAAAAAAACCAAACAAAACATTTATGAAAAAGAGAAAATCACGGACAGAAAGAATGGAAAAAAAGATGTCTGGCATTGCGCTCAAACTCGGGGCCATGCGCATGATGAACAGTGAGTGTCAATGGGGCCCAACAGCACCTCACTGGCTCTGTGGAATGCAAAACCCTTTAAATATTGGTGTTTGTTAAATGCCCTAACTGTAGAATTTGGAAATCGTGTAATACCTGCTGTGACTAGAGCCGATATGATTTGTAGAATACACAGTGCGCGTAAGTCCACTGACCTCATAGAAGCTTAGGAATCCACTGGGAGGATTCGGGGTATCTTTGCAGAATGACGAAGGAAAAGCCTTGCCAATTTAACTTAGGGTGGTTTGTGTTTGTTCAAGTGCAAGGGATTTATACGCCTTTGGTTTCCGACACAGTGGAGCATCAGGATTATTCAGGAGGGTTCTTACATGTACATGTAGCAGTAATGAAATTTTGTTTTTATTTTATGGTCTCATAGTTTGCTGTGAATTATGCAGGCATTCATTGTGTGTGCTACTAAGAGCTATCCCAAATTAATGTTAAAAATCGTAATGGAAATCAGTCACCATTGAGTTGTTCAGTGAGATTTGCAAGCAAAGATGAAATCTCCTTTTTAAAGCAGCAATATTTTAATGTCACTATTTTCAACAAAGGAGCTGAGTTTTGTGACATTTCATTGGAATCTCCAGAACTGGAAGTACAGGCAACATAAATGTCACAACACAAATACCAGACTTGCTAACCACTCAGCAAAATGTCCAGATGGCACTCAGCATTTTTGTCATCATATCAAATGACACAATGTTGTCAACATTGGCACCCACTGAACTCCAGGGAGTGATGGACGTCACTATAGTGCACACCTATGTGCTACACTTGTACATGTTCATGTACCGGTACATGTCTTGCAGCTGAACAAAAATATGCACACATTCTTGTGAACGTGTACATCATCTGCTGGCAGATAACCATTCATTAATTTGATACGGCCCATAAAAAGTTGTGTTTTGCACATCCTGATACGCAGTTTGTTGAGGTACGGTACATGTACATATACATCACATGCATAGTATATGTACATGTATGCACATGTACTCAAATGGTTTTGTACTGTGTCCGTGAACGTTTTTGAAATGAAACAGTTCTTTGCTACATGCTACATACAATTAGGGCCAAAAGTTTAACACATACATGTACTTTTTACACTTGGTGGAAAAACAGTTTCCTCAATTTTTTGCTGGTTGAAATACATGTACCGGTAGTTTTGCCAACTTTTTCTTAATGAGGTTAGACAAATTGTGTCTGAACGTAATGTGCATAGTGTGTACTTCAATCGAAAATACTGAGAGACAATTTATTATGATTAAAAATATTAAAATTTCTAAAAAATCATTTTGTAAAAATTTACATCTACCCCGTCACTGTCATTCAAAAAACACTTCAGAAAGTGGTCCACTGCGACTATGAGATGTGACAGAAAATACAGAAAGTGGCACTAAATATTAGGGTTAGAGTACATGTTTGTAAAAGTTTGATTTTTTTGTAAATATAAATATGTATCTGGATATATTTATTGTTTTATATATCTGGGTGTTTTTATTTGACGCATGCACCATGTATGTACTTTAAGTAGAGACCAGTCTTGTCTGTTTGACCGACTGCTTGGAAAAGTTTGACGTGTCTGCTTTCTGACAGTGTAATGTGTTTGTACACATGTGTTCAGCATTTTCTCTCAACAACAGTAAATTTGTGCAAGGTCCAAATGTACACTGATTATACAAACTTGGTAATACCTTACTTTTTTAGACTACCGGGTATACTGGACATGGCATTTGTTTACCAAATAACATTAGGGTATTACATAGAATCAGCTTCCACAAATCAGACACCCAAATGACATTGCAGTATCTCTTTGTCGTTTTGAAGTACCAATAATCAACTTGTGCAAGAGGTATCAAAACTTGGATTGAAAAGTGAACTTTACACATACAATATCAGAAAAATAAATAATTTTCATTTGTGTATTGTAAGATGAACATGTACTAGTGCATGTACATGTAGAGAATTAAATCCGTACAAGAACAGAGAAGAGGAAAGAGATAAAAATTATTGTTGATTCTGAAAGAATGCTGCCAGAAACAGTGGATTTTCCGTGCGTGGCCATCCTTTTCCCAGTCACAGGTCTGAGGGATAATGTGTACCCAAATGGTGCATACTTGTGATGTTAACCTTTCAGTGAGAGGGGGTCATTGGATCTGCATGTCATCCTTTAAGGGCAGTACATGCATTTCCTCCTACTATACATGTACCTGCCCAGCCCTTGTGTGTGAATGATGTGATCAATGAATGGAAGAGGGGTGTCCAGGTTGCGCATGTGCTGTGGACTCAGGTCAGCGCTAAGAAGCCATGGGCCATGATTTAGCTGCTGTGTACACGTGGTCATAGTATCCCTCACATGTACATGTACATGTGGTTAATGCTACTGTGATTATGTGTGCTTTTTAATGTGGCCTTTCAAATGAATACACAGACAATCAGTTCGTCAATCTGTGCTATTGCTTGCTTCTGTAATATACAGTACACCATGTTGCCTTGGTGAAAACGATAAATCTGCATTTGGAGAATTAGACAGCACCTGCTGTTCCTTGAATTAAAAAAGATATCGGCTGGTAAATTACAGAAATCACATTACCGGTACATGTAATTAGAGACATAATGTACGTGTGAAAGGCTCCAGTTGACATTAACATTTGATGTGCTCAGACAAAAATGATTTTACGTTTCACTGAAGAAAAACCTGGTAGTTGGCTTATTGACTTCATGTCGGTGTAACTACCATCAGTTTGTCAAACTGTCTAAACATTTTGTAATCCCCTTTTTTCCAGTGCCCTTGTTACAACTGTCAGAAATGTTTGTGCCAACAAAATTAAGTACATGTAGCTACCAGTACTGTGTTAGAAAAGAAATTGGGTTTGTGCACATACATGTACACCGTGACTAGAGCAAGAATTCCAAGTTGCATTCTGACATCATAAGTGTAGGGCTGCTTGAACTATTATTTACAGTAACCGGAAATATTAAGAGAAAAATGTGTACAATATCCAACAATGATCCTCTGTGATTTTTTTATCAAGCTTATTCTTTTTGATTCATCACATTAACATCCTTTAAACTATCTGGTTTGGTTCCTGCTTTATAATACACGTCTTATTAGTTCGCTCACTATCTACTCCCATGTCGCAAGTATTATGACTGACTGGAGGTACATGTATGGAGTTTGTCTTGTGATGGTCTTAAAGAGACTCGACTACAACACAGAGTTTGATCACGGCAGTGCTCCACTGATCTATTCCCCCTGCTGTGACCCAGTTCGGTGCAGTAATTTCTAAGCAGAGCATTTCGGTTGTTGTCGTTTCCATTAACAGGAGATCTGATGTACCTGTATATCATGACAATGGAAGGAACATCGCATCACGTGACGGCCTCCACCAGAGGATTCTACGTCAACCAGTAAGTTTAGTGTCATGAACCTGACCCTTCGCAAGGGAGGCCTTTGTTTGGGTTTTTGTTCTTCCATCCAACCCAGGTATTTGAAAACGGAATTCAGTATCTACTCAGAAATATTCAAATTGAAATAATTTACTTTTTTCGGCTATTTTTGGGCTGTTGACATATGAATTTAGCACTCTGGTAATCCTGACCTTTTCTGAAACCTTTCGAGACCTCTACTCAACTTTCAGAAACGAAATGAGTAAAATGATCAGTTTATAGGGCACACATGTGATTAGTGGTATATCTAGTCTTAGGGATGGAGGTAAAGGGAATTTCTTTTATCAAAAGGATGATCCAATTTTTTAATAAGTAAAAGTATCCTCCTCTGGCCCTCCAGAAAAGGGGTAGCTTTGTTTTGAAGGTGTTAGTGTTTTGAATTCTTAAAAGCAAAAATTGGCAACATGTTTAAGGAATTTTCCTTTCTGCCATCTTGATATGGCATTGTATTTACTGATAAAATTACTTATTGCTAAGCATGCAAATCTGCTTAGTACACTGTAGCATTTTTCAAATTTTCTAGGTAATGTAGACATTATACCAGCCAGAATGTTGGATTATTAAATTGCTTCGTACGTATGACTTGATTTATCTTTCTTGATATTTTTTTATTCATTTACACGTATTCCTGTGAATGATTTAACTGAAGGTAAAAAAATGTGAAGTGTGGCCCAGCTATCTTTTTGTTGAAAAAGGGATCCATCGTTCCCTTTTGAAGCCCTTGTACAATTATTCCAAAGGTCTGCTAAGTTCATTGAAATGTGCATAGTGCATGGCAGGGAGCACTTTTCTGTGGAAATACTTGATGACTTCCATGAATGGCCAAATTAAAGAGCTGACAGAATCTCTTTTTTTTTTCAGTTACGGACATGCTCCTGTGTCCTCGATGAAGGTATATATGCATATCATTGCCACATGTCTAGTGACCATTTTCATTTTCTGCAGGTCTACCCAGGAAGTGTTCAACCCCAAGCCTGCCGATCAGAAGCACAGCTCCCATTCCCTGATAGAGCTCCTCAACAAAGTCAGCCCAGTCTTCAAGAAGAACTTTGCCCAGCTGCTTAAGAAAAGGTGAGGAGCAGACCAAAGAAGGAAGAAAATTTATCCAAATTTAGAAATGAGCAGGTGTAATCTGTGCATACCAGACTCATTCTAACCTGTCCTCATTTGAACCCACCGCGTTCCAGCCCACGTCTACCATCACACCAACCCACCACACCTTAACTCACTGCAGCCTCACTAACCCCAGTTTAATACCCAAATTCTACCCTTGACCTAGTACCTGTACCCAAATTCTACCTTGACCTAGTATCTGTACCCAAATTCTACCTTGACCTAGTACCTGTACCCGAATTCTACCTTGACTTAGTACATGAACCAACCCAATCCCAGCCCAATCCCCATCAGTTTTGCCATGCCTTTTATGTTGCAGTAGAGTCTGCTACATGTACATGTACCCTTTACTATTTGAATACTTCAGACCAAACTAGTCAATTTATATCTTCAAACCAAGCTATTCACTTTATTTCCTCAAACTCAAACAAGTCAGTTCAATGCTTTAAACCAAACCAGTCAATGTAATACTTCAAATCAAGCTACCGGTAGTCAGTTTAAACAGCTTGAAGTTGCTGTGCATTGATGGCTATACAGCATGCACTTGGACACAATAATTGTTGGGCGTCAGCAGCTTTTGCTCTGCCATTGGTGATATTCAACTGAACTTACATCTAGGCAGTCTCATTCATATTTGTTGGGACATTTAGGGAAAATGGTCTGAACATGTCCAATGTCCAGTCTTAGTTTTACCGTTTGGCTCATCTTCCCAGACATTCTGTGTGTGTTTGTTGCTGGTTTCAGGTCCCAGAGGCACCCTTTTGAGCGAGTGCCCACCCCCTTTCAAGTCTACACCTGGATGGCGCCCCAGATGGAGCACACTATCGATTCCATTCGAGCAGAAGATGGTGAGATAATCACAGGGCCATGCAAAACCTCCCACGTTTCCCAGAATGGAAAAAAAATTGGAGGAGGGGGGAAGCTGCATGTGTTATGCTACAATTTATACCAAATTGCCAGTGAAGCATATTTTGGCCGCGCCGTTTTGCATGTGTTATTTACCACAAAAGTCCACAGCCTATACTTCAGTACTTACACTTATGTATACATGATAAAAACAGTGCTGATAATCTCGCCATAACTCAGATTCATAGATTACATGGTTTTTCAAAATAAACGTGATCTTAAAATTGCCTGCTGTTTTGAATATGAAAATTAGATTCTTCAAAAGGATATTTGAATAATAATTTGATAAGTCACATTCTGTTGAAATTTGTGTCAGAACTAGCCCTTTTCAATTAAAAAGACCTGTATCAGAGTGTTTCTATCAATTACTGATTATGAATTTTCCCTTCGTCTTAGCTTACACCTCAAGACTTGGCTATGAAGAACATATACCAGGACAGGTAGGTTCATTTACTGTTAGTCACATGTAAATGTACATGTTTACCACATGAAGGTGTATTTGCATCTACAGTGTTCAGCCCAAGGCCACAGACGGCAGATAGTCGCTATCAACAAAGAGTCCATTACCTTTTCACAATGTAAAGCATTTCCCTGTGGTTGTGTGTTGGGCACTTCTGCTCCCTGCACACCCACACTGTGCATTAGTGCTAACCACAGACACACAGCGATGACTTGCAGCGGACAGTGCCCAGACTGTATGTGAACCTACCTACCTCAACAAAATGGGTCCCAAGTTGCCAGTGCCACTTTTTAGTTAAAGGCATTTAAAGAGAATCTTGAATAGGAACCCTTAACAGTTTAGCCCCAATGTGATGTTTGTTTTCATCCAAATGCCAAACTGAGTGAAGCATCAAGACAGAATCTCAATTTGCTCTCTCAAATGCCAAACTAAAAATTGAAGAAAGGTAAAAATACCCTGAAGACTAACTTTGTGGGATCTGGTGATGCATTTGACTTTGTGATGTTATATGTAGTCACAGAATTCAAGAACAATTTTAGTGCCGTCTTTTAAATAACTCTATCAAATAACTCTATCAGTTACCGCACATTGCCTCCAATCATGCACATTTACTTATGAAAAAACCCACTTGGTTGTCACAGCCTTCAAATGTTGCCAGAATGAGCGAAGAAAATTGACTGGAGCAGGACTTCAACATGTGACCTCGAAAGTATACTTCCTGTGTTCTACCTAGTCTTAGTTGGACAGTTTCCAATATTTTTTGTTCAAACTGTCTGTAATCTTGGCATTGATTCATACTTCTCCGGTAGACCAGAGACTGGAATGAGGAATCCCAGACAACGCGAGAGCTGCCTCGTAAGAACCTCCCTGAGAGACTGCTGAGGGAACGCGCCATCTTCAAGGTGCACAGCGACTTTGTTGCCGCGGCAACAAGGGGCGCCATGGCCGTCATTGACGGCAATGTCATGGCCATCAACCCTGGAGAAGACACAAAGTGAGACGAATAGTTTTGTCTTGAAATCTGGCTCGATGATTTTGGGAAATTCATGGAAATTACTTCCAGGGGATGTAAACCTGCCCATTTCAGCTCTTTCAAAATCCAGTAAGAGGATATTTCTGATAAGGATACTATTGTAGGATTCAGGAAGATAAAGCTTAGCCACTGTTACTTGACATGGGAGTTTGATGCCCTTTAAATGCAAAGATTGGGCTGTTCGAAGTGGAAGGTCAGAATGATGAAAAAACAAAAGAACTTTGGAAAGATGAAATGAGTTCCTTGATGTACAATTACACTGAAAACCTTTACAGAAATGGCAAGAAAGTAACCTGTGTAGCATGTCATTATAATAAATACTTACTGACTACATTAACCTTTTTCTAAGAATGAATATGCATTTTTTCATAACAAAAGGTCCAGTTAGTTTTGATGACTTTGGACCAATTTCAGGATAGCACTTGCTGAGGAAAGTAAACGTTAAGGGCCGGCGACCATTTAGACCCGGTTTGAAAAGGGTCCCCCCCCCCCCGGTAAGTTCGCCCGGTTGCAAAAACCCCTTTCATACCGGCCTGGCTACCGGCCTGGGATGCTGGACTGGTTGTTGATCTCGAACTTCTTCATCCTGGGGTCTATTGTTCGCAAGTACTGGTACATGTAATCTATCCCAGAAGGAACCTTCTTCAGGTTTTTAATCCTTCAGCTCTATACAATGTTTACACTAATCTGCTTATACCCCTATTCATCTGTGCAAGCATGTTGGGGGAAGCCTTTCATCAGGGACTTTGAAATGCCAATGTGCAGACAGGCCTTATACCGGCCTGGAGTAGGCTGGATACCGGGCAGGCTTTATACCGGGTGGGCTACCGGGGGGGGCCCTTTTCAAATCGGGTCTAAATGGTCACCGTCCCTAATGAATGAAACGCACTGTTGTGTTATTTATGTGGGTTGTTGGGTTTTTTTTCAAAAAAATGTAAGCAGACAATTTTATTAGCATTATCTTGTAAGAATTGAAGAATTTTGCCTTTGTTTCATGTTCATAGGATTCAGAATTTGACCTGAATTGAATATGAAATTTGATTCTGGACTTTGCCTTATTGTTCCACTTATAAAGTTTTATATTTGCCGTCGTGCTTAAACATGGTTATCCATTACTCTAAACTGACTTAAACCATTATGCTGTCATTTGTTTCCAGAATGCAGATGTTCATCTGGAATAACATTTTCTTCAGTCTGGGCTTTGACGTCAAGGATCACTACAAGGACTTTGGTGGTGATGCAGCTGCTCATGTTGCTCCGGTAAAGACGAAATTAGGGACAGCTTTTTACTTTTTGATCGAAAGACAATTTTGTTGTAGACCAGTAGGTTTTTACAACATTTCCTCAATAAATGCGGACAAAGTGAATATAATTGGAACATTTAGCGACTGTTGAATGCTGTGGTTTTGGTTAGTTGAACCCAGGAGGGTGCATTGAAACCTCCTTCACTTTGCCTTGACAGCTGTGTCAGTCAAGAAGGCATACCTGCCAACTGTTCCAATTTATACGGACCTGTTCCAATTTTCAAGTTTTCAAAGTCCTAAATGCCGTTATGCTCTGATTTTCATAAAAAGGAAAAAATCCTAGCAAAACAGGGTGCTGTTTGCAGAAAAAGAGGGCACTATTTACCATGTCAAATGGCAGTTGTGACACGTAAATACATGTGCATACATATACATAGTAACAGCCTCTCACACACAGCTCCTTATTTTGCTATGAGCTTCTAAAAATGGATGTTCCGATGTCTGACCTTTCGATGTTGGCCGGTATGAGAATGTATGAATTACCTTTGGATTATTTTAGGCACTCATACCAGTCGTGAGCTTTAGATTTTGCAGAAATACTGGTATCCTACTCCAGGGCATATCCTATGCTTGTGATGGTCTGTACTAGGTGCTGCGCTTCAGCTCTGCAACTGGTGTGCAGTGGCATATCCAGGTTTTGGATCTGTTTTCTTTCCCCCGTGTAAGAATTCTCAACCTCAAAGTCAGGTGGTTGTGTTATAAGCTTCAAAATGTTGGTGCTCTCAGTTCCTTAAAAATAAATGACGATATGTCTTGGGGGAGGGGAACTTCCCCCCCCCATGGGCCACTAATGTAAATGATATCACATTCATTGTAACCAACTTTGCAAGTAACAGCTCTAGACCAATGAGATGTCACACAATATGGTATCTTTATTTCTGGCTCTTTGCTTTAAAATGTTCTACATTGCTGTGCTTCATTATCAATTATGTCCGTTTGTCATTCTCAGAGTAATGACCTCCAGGGTGTTAAGGCTTACAATGTCGTAGACATCGAGGGCCTGTTCACCTTGGGCACTGTGGTAGTGGATTACCGTGGTTACCGCATCACCGCCCAGTCCATTATCCCTGGCATCCTGGAGAGAGAGCAGGAGGAGTCGGTCATCTACGGCTCCATCGACTTTGGCAAGACGGTGGTCACCAATGATAAGTACAAGGAACTGGTGAGAAAGATTGAGGAAACCTCTAAAGTGAGAAATATTGTTTACATTCCACACAAGAAGAGTTAAAGAATTTTTACTTTGGAGAAATGAAAAGCCAAGAAAATTTGCTCCATTCCATCCTCCTTTCATTCAGTGTATGCGCCAGCTGTAAGTGGAGAGACAGAAAAATTCAACAATACAATTAAAGACAAATGATTAATAGTTCTTATGCAATAGTTAGTTTCACACAAAAAACAGTTTACCAAAACATAATGCATCAGTAGAATGTTTCCCTTTAATTAGTATTTAACAGTACATATTCTGAAACTTAAAAAATGAAAAATCAAATCGTCTGACAAACCAGAAGGGAAGATGAAAATAATTTCTGTTCTAAGTGTTATTTTTTAGCTTTTCTCAGACTGATTGTCAAATTTAGTTGACCTCAACAGTCCCCTGATTTTTTTTTTAACATCTTACGAATGCATGATTTTATAAATGGAAAAGAGACTAATTGAAATAAAACAGCACTTTATCCTCAAACATTCTTTCACTGTGATTACATTGTGAACTTGTTCTTAGCTGACCAAGTCTGCCCAGCAGCTGAAGATTCTGCCCCACAAGGTCATCAACCACAAACAGGATGAGGTGGAGATATTTTCATCAATAGAATGCAAGGTACCTACCCACAAGAAAGAAGGTCTCACTTCTTGAAGTTTGTGTGATTTAAGAGTTTGGAGATAACTGTAAGCTGCAATCCAGGTTGAGATCATGCAATGTTATGTCAGTGTCTTATGTTTGGACTGGTTGCAAAAGACCTCTAGATTTCGGAAATTGCAAGTTCATTTGCTTCGCCCAATGTTGATAAGAAAATTTTGTGTGATAATCATGAGAAATGCTGTGATGAATTTTCCAACCTTGTTTGTCGATCTGTGTTTTGCACTAATAACCGCCATTTTGCTTTCTCCTTCCCAGGGCATAAAGGGCAATGATGGAAGGCATTACATACTGGACCTCCTGAGAACGTTCCCACCAGATATCAACTTCCTACCAAGTAAGTAATGAACTTCAGTTGTAAAAAAGCATTGTTTCTGGTCAAAGATTATAAATAGTGACCCACAATTTTCAGACAAGGTGTTCAGATGAGGGGAGTAAATCTTAAACCATTGACACTTAACCTTATATAAAGGTCGTGATTTAATGAATATGCATGTAGTTTGCATTTGCATAAGTTTATAAATACTTGGTAACATAGTTAAACATTTTAGAGATCACACAGATAAGAAAAAAATTGAGGAAAATATGTTATGAGATAACACTAGGAATTTCGAAAATGCAGTCTGCCTGTAACAAGTGTTTAAAGTTTAGTCTGTGTCTTAAATATCACAAACTGATGTGGAATTTTGATAGATTGTCATTTTAGTTACGTTCATCCCATTTACACTGCTGTTGAACCTTAAACGTGTGAATTTCAGTATTTTTGTATCTTTTAGTAAGAAAGAAAACTTACAATTCAGATCCATGAGTCTTTTCCAGTGCCTCTGTGTTTGTTTCATTTATTAATGTGTGTCTTGGTTTTTAGTTGAAGGAGAAGACCTGAGCGAAGATGTGAAAGCTCTTGACTTCCCTCGCAAGCATCGTCACAAGCTCTGCTGTCTGAGGCAGGAGCTCATCGAGGCATTTGTTGAGTAAGTCTTCCTTCTAAAATGTTAATGTTCCAAGAAGAGGTCAGCTGGGGCTGGACTGGGTTGTAAGTTCTTTAGTTGTTGTATGCAGAATCAATGTCCACTTCACAGTGACTGAACTGCAAGCATGGTAGAGACCATGCCGTTAACTCAAGCTGATGATATTGCTACAGACGATTGCACGAACAGCTGGTTAGATAATCATGTTGAATTTATCATTTAAACACTGTTGAAGACTCATGTTTTTCCTTCCTATGTTTCCTTGCAGGCACCAGTATATGGTCTTTGTTCGCCATGCAGCTGTCCTCCTGATGCAGCAGCAGAAACCAGAGGCAGAAACTGCTCCAAAAGAAAGCAACAACAATACTGATCAGACTGATTTGGAGAAGGATGCTGAAAACACTGCAAAGACTGACACACTCAAAGAGACAGACAGTGTTCTCGGAAATCCTTCTGGTGAAACAAACTCAGAGCCGGGCAGTGCCGAGACAAACGGAGAGCTCGCTAATGGAGTGGAGGAAGCGCAGGAGTCGCAGGTTGGCAGCAAAAAGTCTGCAGAGGACACCTTAACAGACAGTCTTCAGGATGCGGCCAATGCTGTGCTGGCAGGGGGGAAATGTCCCATGCTAAACGGGCTGGATGCGAGCGGGATTGAGCAACTTGCCGAGAACATCAGCAGTGTAACAGAGGAGGCTGCCAAGGCACTCACAGAGTCACAGAAGAAAGAAATTGGTGAGTAATGTGATGAGAAAATGAGAATACTCATTTCAAGTTCAACATGAATGCAAGCACAGTTGAGTTATGAACACAAACCTTTACACAAAATTCTGTGAAGTTGGATACATCTTAATTTCTATGAATTCATTGTCATTTTGTCATGCTGTAGTAATTTGCTCATAAAAATCATTTGTATATTATGTGAATATACCTCTTCTAAACTCACATATAAGATTTTAAAGTACTAAGCTGTTCGTAGGAGGGCAGACACTTTGATCAGTGTAATGTATGCAGATCAAAAGCACAGAGAAATATTTTTTTAGATTAACTTCTAAGAATAAGTTAATGAGATAAATGATAAATCATATTTGCTTAGCAGATATTAACATTTCCCGCTTAGCTGAACTTGGCCCGTACACCTTACAGCATTGGTTGTGTACGACACTGTGGCCACTTGTTATGACCTAATTGAGGACCTTTTCAATTAATTGGGCACTTTTGGACTTGTTGAAATTTTGACTCTAGTTGATTCGGGTCACAAGGAGATCATCACCAAGGCAGCGAAGGCAGCAGGATCACTGAGCCTGACGGAATTCGATATCCGCTTCAACCCTGACGTCTTCTCAGAGGGAGTGACGCATGCTGATCCTGATGTAAGTGCAGTGATATTAGAAAGTGGTTCCTCCAGTTTAAAGCTTGAGTTTGCGAACTATTTCAAGTTTCCTTATAAATAGTAGTTGCCGTTACATTGAGCTTCAAACAGCATCTTCTAATCACTAGCATCACTTAGTAAACTGACTAAATCAAGGCAAAAGTGTCTCTGTCTGTGTTTGACAGACAAGATATCACTTCATCGAATTAAACATAGTTTTGTGAACTGTTGTTGAAAGCATAAGTCGCAACATCGACAATACATTCTATTATGCTTCTATGCCCACATCGAGGGTCGCAACATCCACAATACATTCTATTATGCTTCTATGCCCACAACGCTTCCCATGTCCATGATATAAAATTTCCTCTCTTGACAACAACCCAATGATCATGATATCTGAATTCCAAAAGCAGGTACAGAAGTCTTTACAGTGTCAATTGTGTGGTAGCATTGCCAACTGATGTAATTATATTTCAAGTTGGGCGGAAGTGACAAAATGTTGGCAACAAAGTCAGTCAATGAATACATGTATATCATCAAGAAATTCTGCGTAAGGAACCACGAGCATGTTGGGAAAGGTCGTGGTTAATTAAGGAGGAAATTGGGTTCATGAGAAAGTCGTAAAAATGAAATCTCAGGGTCTGGAAGTGGTCAAAGCTGACCATACTACATCCTGGACTGACCACACTGACCTTCTGGAAGTGCACAGATATTTCTTAGAAATTAGAGGGGAGCATAACGGGTCATAAAGAGGAGGAGAGAGGGGAAGAGTGTCTTCGAGATTTTAACTTGCTGTTATCACATCTGCTAGTACTACTGAAGAAATAAATAAGTATGCATGTAGAATAGAGAAGTGTGATCGTATGAGTTAGTCAGAAGTTCAACTGTTTCATCATAAAGAAGATGAAACTACATCACAGAATATGTTGTCTACATTCTTCCTTCTGAAATGACAGAGCGAGGTATTCCAGAGGCAGAAACGAGTGGTCAAGGATGCCGCTAGGTTTCTTCTTGTGGGCCAGATTCCTACATTTGTAAGTGCTTTGTACTGTTCATTATCGAGCACAATCTTTGCTAAGTAGTTACTGTATATGGCTTATGTTGATGTTTTTTGATTCAGAGATGTTTAGCATTTTAGTCTACTGTTAATCTTTCTCCAGTTTAAACCAATTTTGAATATATTCAGGAATGTGGTACAGATATGTTTTCCCATGAGGTAATTTGATTGAACTTAAAACCTTGTTAAAAAAACCAGCAAGTTGGTTTGACAGTGACATATTAGGTTCTACTTACCATGAATAGGCCCCTGGCACTTGTTACTTGGTGATAATTCGTTTCGCATGGCATGGAACCATTGAAAACCTGAAGTGCAATCCGTGTATTGATACAAGGTTGATGGACCGAATAGTTGCGAACCTCTCGCTTTAACACTGTCCATGTGCATTGAAATCTCTAGGCTGATGTTATTCTGCCATCCATTCTTAGATACGTGAATGTCTGGAGCATAGTGTAGCACCGTTGGATGGATTAACACTGACAGAAGCATTACATCAAAGGTAAGAGAGAAATGCATGCTTAGCCATTATTCATTACTCCTTTGGCTTGTATACATAGAATCTTCTATAATCCCCTACTGTGCCGGACAGGGGCATGGAGTCCCACCTGATGTAAAAATAGCTGAACCATATACTAATTTATCCTTCACAATTATGAAAAATCTTCTGGTGAATACGGTTGCGTTTCGCAATAGTGCACCTCTAAGAGTTTGCAAGGCGTTGGCCAATCACAATGCGCAAAATTTCTCCATCCAATGCGTGTTTGGAAAGGTCGACAAATTTTGCATGTTGTGATTGGCCAACACATTGGAAACTCTTGGAGGTGAACTATTGTGAACTGCCCGTATTAGGAAGTATTGAAAAGATGAGGGTTCAGGACATGCCCAAAGATAAACAAGTTACAATTTATATAGTGTAGAAGGAATCGCTGTCTCATGCAGGTATTTACTGTTTTGTTCAGTAGCAAACAAGGCAACTTAGGACATACAAGTTTTAATCTTGTTTGTCTTTCATCCCTTAACCATTTATCATTTCTGAGGTTGTTCACTCATTTTCAGTGCCATCAAAGCTGAGAATAGGTCTTCACCTGGCAGAAATGGTTCGTCTGCTTAAAGAAAGTCTAATAAAAAGCATTTAAAAACAATAAATCAAAAGTGCTTAAAACAAAGATTTTGTAAACCTAAATAGTATGTAGAGTAAACTAGTATGTGACAGTTGTAACAACCTCTTCTCATTTCAACAAACTTGTGCTGTCAAAGTCCATGTGATGTGTAATCTTTGTCATTTGCAGAGGTATCAACATTCGTTATTTGGGTGTCATAGCAACAATCGTCTCTACAATTCCACCGCTGTCCTACCTGCATGTGAGTTCATATTTCCCCATTCCCTTGTTTTCTGTGCTTTTACACCCATACTGAGCTGAAATAATGGATTATTGTTTGGTGCTTTTCACGTGAACTGACAATGGGCAGATGTCTGTGAATATATTGTATTTCTGTACCATTTGAGTTCAGAGGAATGTTGTCACATACTTATAGTAAATGTGTTTAAAGCTACGTTTGCATGTGTCTTCTTAGACTACAAACTTATGCCTTAAGTAACTTGCAGCTTCATGCTTACATTGATATTGAGTACATTGATTTACAAGTATCGGTTGCTTGATATACACAATAGAACTTTAACTGTGTATCTTGAGAACCAATGGTGTGTCATATACGGTGTAATCAGCCGTGGCTTAGCAGTCAATATCTGGGATATACAGGGTCATATCTGAAAATATAATGTGTCCATAGACAAGCTTTTTTCTTATATTTGTTCAGATGTGTATATGAAAACATACTTTGGTGTAACAGTGCAGTGGTTGTTTTAAACTCTGGCTGCCACATTGGCATTGTCCGTGAGTATACAGTATGTGCCAAAATTCTTAAATTGTTATCTTCATTGTCCAAGTCTGATCCAACTTTTTGTTAATTTTTTACAACCTTTTTGTGCTTAGATCAATCGGTAAAGCACAAGTCCAGAAAATCCTGGGTTCTTGGTTTGATTCCTCATTTGACCATTTTCTAAAATTATGTTTGTCTATCATTCTGTAGAGGCTTCTAGTGAGCGAGATGATCATCCGTGGAGCCAAGCATCTTTTCAAGGCCTTTATGCAGGGCGTGGGCATGGTCAGTCTGTCAGGTGCCATCAGCCACTTTCTCAACTGTTTCCTGGGCTCGCTGCCCAACCCGCAGCCCCCGAAAGCTGACGACGAGGTGAGTATGTGGGGAAAGATGGGCTTCAGCCTCCCACCTGGAAGCGTAGAATGTGCACCGCATTGCCTTGGACTTGTCTTTAAGGTTTGGTACAAGTTTGTGAGAAACTTTGAAGTTTCTTGTACACCATCTATTGGCTCTGCTGAGTAGCTGTTGAGGGCAGTTTGATTTCCTCTCGTGAGGGCGACATAAGGACACTTCTGGCTTTGGGAGACAGTTTTTCTTCCATGACTTCAAACTAGAAATCATAGCACAACAGTGAATCATTTGATTTAAACCACAATTACTATTTGAATCAGAGTGATTTCAGTTGACCAACCCTTGTAATGATATGCTAGGATTCATTTGTATTGTGGCTGTAATGTACCTCCTCAATTTCACACCACTGCAGTTCCTAAAAGTAATTGCAGGTACAGTGTATGGCATATTAGTTTTCAAATTTGTATATTTGGGAAATTTTTTCTTTTGTTTTAAATGAGAAAATTGCACTATGGAGGCTTGTTTCAAGCAGATTCAAATGAAAAGCGTTAAAATCGTACAACAATTTAAAAAGTAAATTATTTATTAAACAATTAAAAGGAATAGAAATTTTCAATGGGGCAAGAAGTCTTGTTCATCTCTTAAATCTTGCTAAATCATGGTTGGAGATATTCCTAGATGTGAGAAGCCATTATGCTTTTATATTGATTATAATGTACAATTGTGTGTGTTATTGCAACTGATTTTGTGTATGGTTTGTTTATCAACAATCTGCCTGTCTGTACGACCGAATATTCGGATATTCAATCAAATTGAAAGTCGAATATTCGAACAGTGAATTATTCGAATTGACTCAGCCCAATTGTTCACACATCTTGAACCAAGTGACAGTGCTCACACTTAATGGGATTGAAAATTGACGAAGAGTTCCAGGATTCCAGACATGTTAATCCTCTTATTCCCTCACACTAGATATCTAATGGTCACGGGAAGAAGAAAAGGAACAAGAAGAAGACGGGAAGACTTCTCACAGCACTGGGACACGGTGCGTTTTAAGTGGTTTAGTTTTTGATGTGAAGATTGGTTTGCCATGATGCATTTACCCATTCAATTGATGGAAAGACACATTGAACAAAACATATATACAGTATCAAAACATCTACAATTAAAAAAAACAGGAAATAGCATACTTGCTTTCTGTCTGTCAAATTTTCATCTATTGGCTGGCTTTTTTCTCATGCTTAATACTAGAAAAACTTGTGTCATTTGATATGTATAATGGGCTTTACGAATTGTAAGAAGGCCTGTGGATTTGGCATTAATGTACATCTGTATTGGGAATTCAGCTTTGAATAGTGCAGCAAAGTGTCTATTAATCTTTGGTATCATTCATTGTCCTACAGACTGCATAGTGTGGGCCAGCCTAACCCCAATGGAAATGTGGACCAACTTGAAAGCAGAGGCCAATGAATACTACCATTTCAAATTGGAGTGGTGAGTCAACTTCTTGCATATTGTACCAAAAAAAAAACTGTTCCCTCCCGCGCTTTTGAGCTTGCCCTAGTTGGTATTGGATTAAGAGCACAAACTTTTCTTTTGTAAGAAAAACTCTCTAGTCCCCTTTGAGAAATTTGTAATTGTGGATGTCCCTTCCCAAGCAAAATTTTGCCTTCAAAACCAAAACTATCTGTAAGTACAACGAGTCATGGATCAGTGCATTGTTGAGTAGTCATAGTTGAGGAAGTCAATCTGGTGAGCTACATGTAAATAATAGAAAAAATGGGTAAAAATAAAGCCAACATTTATTTTGTAATGTGTGTGGTTTGGACAGCATCCTCTCCAGTAAGTTTGAAGTATTCACATTACTGTTTATATGCCTGTTAATCATGGCATGAAAAATGGACAGACTTCAGATGTTGTGATTTTTGGTTTTTGATTTTCAACCTTGCCCCCACCCACAGCGACAACGTGGACTCAGCCTTGGAAGCCTACAGCCTCCAGCGGGTGACCCTCCTCCGAGAGTTCTGCACCAAGTGTGGCATCCAGCTCCTGCTGAGGGACTATGACTTTGACACCAAGCACCGCGCTGTGTTTGGCGAGAACGACATCATCAACGTCTTCCCCGTGGTCAAGCACATCAACCCCATCGCCAGCGACGCTTACAACTTCTTCCAGAGTGGCCAGGCCAAGATCCAACAAGGTCCGAAGAAGTGGAAAAATAAGAGAGCACAGATTTGATAAAAACTAAGTTTTTGAAAAGAATTTCGTCACGTTCTGGATGAATAGCCAGGATTCAAATTTTCATTTTCTTACCCCTAGAACCCTTAAAATATCCAGTAGACATTTTTTTTCCTAATGCTGGTGTCCTGTTTACCAGTCTGATGAGATAAAAATATGCAATGCATCACACTCACAAGTGTGCTTTCAAAGTTAAAGTGTATAGTCTGGTGACTGAAGAATCGTTGAATGTGCATGTAAGACCTGGTTGCAGGTACGGGTATGACTGCAAAAACGGGTTTGGATTCAGGTGGCAAGATTAATCTATAGATATGTCTACATAAATGACCTATGACGATAGTCCATAAAAATGGTCTTTTCTCCTCACAGAGCAAATAGCTCTTACCAGGTTTCCTTCAAATTTGAACTAAAAGTATAAGTTTTTGTTTGATGTGGTACCAGAGTCAGTTAAATATTAGAATTGTATTTGTTAATGTCAAAAACATTTCCCTGCAGATTTTCGTCTTTTAAGATCTAACTCTTCAATTTCACAGCAAAAAATGAAGGTTATAAAGAGTGTAAAAATAAACAATTCTTAGACCCGTTAGAAAATGTGGATCAATGTTAAGTTTTTCTGTATTTAAGTCAAAGGATTGTCACTTTTTTTGGTGATAACTGAAATCGCCAATAATTTCTTTGTGAAAATCAGAATTTGAACTCTCTTACAATGCAGGTCAGCTCAAGGAAGGTTATGAGTTGATCAACGAGGCTCTGAACCTGTTCAACAATGTCTACGGCCCCATGCACCCAGAGATAGCAAGCTGCATGCGCAACCTGGCCCGACTTAACTACCTCATGGGAGAACACGCTGAGGTAAGGGGATGGGAGACTTGTAACCAGGAGGGGCCCCGTGTTGATTTGACAGGGCAAGCATTTGCCAAAGGCTGCATGTCGAAATGTTTCATGTTGGGAAAGTTCAACTCAGGAGGGATGGCACAGGAAGTTGCATATGTTGCTTTTTCTCACATTTATATTTATTTTGGATATGTGTGTGTTATCTCCGATGTATTGTAAGTATTGATATTGTGGTGCATTGGCTATGGTGAAACAAGAAGTCTAGGTTTTCCTCGAGCAAATTTGAATTCTTAATCCTGATTGGTCAGCAAAGAGATATGAAAAGCTGCATCACAACTCTTGATAGCGGTTTTTTTTACAAAAGGCAGGCCTATTTCAAGTAAATTGAGTCCAAGTTTGTGAACAGCTCAACATGTGAATAAATTAAATAGTAAACATGTAGTATTGCACCTCAGTATTTGTAGATGTTTTAGAAGAAATAAATGCATTCCAAGTAAACATGAAAGCAACCTTCTGTTCATTATTCCACCCAGCATTCTGTTGGTGAAGGACCACTACTTATCTCTGCACTAGGCTGGAAATGAAATCCCTTACTGTTATCAGTGCCCATTTATAGACTTGTCCAATGGGAAGCGATTGGCCTTGCACTCAAGTGTGCATTGAGACTAATTTTATAGAGTTGCTTAAGCACAAAATTTGCTTAAGTGCAAAAACATGCTTAAAAACAAGGTTACCAGCTCAAAATCTATGTGATTGTCACGCTAACCAAAAGACAGGTGAATACCATTCCAAAATAATACACATCACCTGGAGTTTTGGCTGGTAACCTGATTTGTCAAGCAAGGTTTTTCGTGCTTAAGCAAATTTTGTTTTTAAGCAGCTCAGTGAAATTGGCCTCTGTAATTTGAAATGTACATGTACATTCGGCAAGTTAGAAAACCCCTTTGATAGATGTAATGAGATGTGGGTATGGTCTTTGCAACTGAGTGGAACCATAGTCGTGATGGCGTATAATTCTGCTTGAGGGATTAGTCCATTGGGGACTAAACGAAAACGTTTAGTTACTTTATTGTCGTTATAGCTCAATGTTGTATCAGCACATATTGATGGCTCATGTTTTTACGCTGAATCTTATCAGATTTTACTAATGTGAGACATTGTTTTAGATTTTGAGAAAGATATTTCATTGATCTCTTGGCTAGGCACTTGAAATGCAACAGAAAGCAGTGATGATGAGCGAACGCTGCAACGGAGTGGACCATCCCAATACCATCAGTGAATATGTGAGTAGTGAAGTCTTTAAAATCATGTAAAAAATTTCCTTAAAGTGAAGACACAAGGGCAGTGTTGCCAAGGTTTGTTTGTTGCAGATGAGTAGATCAAATGAGTGTGTCTTCAACTTGTTTCAGATGCATCTAGCGCTGTACAGTTTTGCCAACGGCCAGGTGACTAGCGCCCTCAAGCTGATGTACAGGGCCAGGTACCTGACTTTAGTTGTCTGTGGCGAGGACCACCCGGAAATGGCCCACTTTGACGTAAGTGTGACATATGCAATGGGTAGCTCCAGATGAATGCCTCTCTGAATGCCTGGTGTGCTGTGTTGTAGTCATGCCCTCACAAGTCCCCACAAATCCATTTCAGTTCAGCCTCTTCTAAGGACTAGACTGGACTTGCCGGGTGCATTCGCACGGTTACTCCTGTCAACAAGATTGAGGATGCTCGCTTTACTCTCGGGTCAGGAGTGTACTCCTGCATGACGGGAGTATACTCTCACTGATCTGCAGGGTGTACTCCTGCCGTTCGTGCGCTTTGGGGGAGTACTTGCTTAATCGCGAATAGCTCGCTCGAATGTACCTGCAGAAAGACAAGTGATAGGCCTTGTGATAGATTTGACAACAGTACTGCATGTGTGATTATTTCCATCAGTCCTGACCATGCCGAACCCAACAATATCAGTAGATATATTTATCAGTAGTGATATTTTGTTGAAGTGAGCAGTGATCAACAGGCCTTTTGTTCTATATGTTGGGTTCTGTTGGGTTCAGCAGACTTCACACTTTCCTGTTGTTGTATTCTGTTGGATTCAGTAGGGTGCTTAGAGAAAACCTTAAGGGGGTTAGGGGTAGTGAATGCTGCCGGCCTGCATCCAATCAGCTGTCAGGTGGATACGACTTCACATTTTACACTAACATGCTATAGCAACATCCAAAGCCACAGACAGAAATGCTTGTTATGGATGTGGGCTTAGAGCAGACACCACTCGGTGGCCAGCTTAGTACATTTTACAAGGAAACTTTCATTTATTTGCAGTGTGATCATTAGAGCTTGTCAGAAACTCGTTAAGCAAGGAGAGCTGCTGATATTTATATGTCAGTGATAAACAAGGTGCGAAGATTTCTGGCTTCTTTGTAGCTTGTTTCAAATATGTCAGCTTTGCAAAATTGCAGTTCTTGCAACATCTTGCTCATTTCCACTGGGCAATATGCCAAAATAAAAATAAAAGAACTTAATCGTTACAAAGCAGATATGTTATTATATTCTGATTCTGTTTTAAATGTATTTTAACTTTCCAGAGCAATATAGGCCTCGTCTTGCACGGAGTGGGTGAATCAGACCTGGCCCTGAAGTTCCTGGAACGAGCCCGAGAGACTACCCTCAAATATCACGGTGCCAAGAGCTTGAAGGCAGCATTAAGGTTAGGGTCAATGACAGGGTACCCATGGTCAAATCCTGGGGAAAAGTTTTCCTGGAAAAGTCATGGAAATCAAGATCATGCAAGGGTTTGTTTTTTTTATAGGCCACTTTTGATGTCATAACAGAATCGTGATAACTTAACAGACTGGATCCTTGTTCGTCTATAGCAGTGGCTATGGCAGTCTTCCAGTTCATAATACAAACTTTTTGTGCAGAATGGTGTTAAATATTATGGACATTGTCATGTTGGTCCTTAAAAGTCCTGGAAAGTCACGGATGTTGGCTTTCAGATTTCTGTGGGAACATTGAATGAGTTTGTTAATGGTGGCAGCCGTTACCTGAACCCATTCTGTAAAACCTAAAAAATGCCATCTGGAAAAGTGGCAGATAACCATAATACTAGCTAGAAACAACTCTTGTCTGCTTTGCTACCTATCATGCTGGCTATCTATACTGCACACTCAAGTGCAGTATACCATGCGTACCGAATCAGCCCTTCACTTGTGCATTAAGACATTTTACTTGCATTTATCAATGGTTACGGTTGATGTGATGTCCTTTGTCAAGTTTTGACGTGTACTGAAATGCAAGTTGATGTATTTGGAATCAAAGACAAGAAACTTGAAGGGTAATTTAATATCTCGACAAAATGATCAGGCAAAAATAAAAAATAAACTTATGATATGGGTTTCTTTATCAACAGTCATCATCTTGTTGGCCGAGTTTACTCCTCTCGCGGTGATTTCCGCACTGCCCTTAGACATGAGAAGGAAGCTTACAGCATCTACAGGGAACAGGTATGTTATGTCTTGATCTCTTCAACATCATGGTGATAGACCTAGGTCTCCTGCAAACATGGATTTTGTTCAGTCAAGCAAAAATCAATAGATCATGACCAATAGACTGCTTGTTAAAAACTCATTTTTTTCCCCCGAAAAGATTTGTCAGCCCATTGTCTTGTATCCTTTCTTCTTTAGTTTGGTGAGCACCATGAGAAAACTAAGGAGAGTTCTGAGTTCTTGCGTCAGCTTACTCAGCAGGCTGTCAACTTCCAGAAAACAGTACGTTGGTGAAAATGTGGAAAGATTGTCAGTGCTTAGTTACTTTACGATAGAATGTGTTCTTGCATTTTATTTTTCTGTACGGATTGTGGTACGTGCAATGTAGAGATACCACAAACCTACACATTTAATTCACATGTAATTATTGTGTACAGTCTGCAATATAGTTGAGTCCCCTAACATGGCGCACCCAACATTTCTCTTGACTTTCTTCTTATAGCGTTGCCAAATCTCTCTGTTGAAGTCATTCAATTAAATGCTGGTACTATCTTACATTATAAATGCTGTTGAACCATCGTGGACAATTCCAGTGCCGTGAAATTTAGTCCAAAATTCAACAGTTGTGGTGTCCAGAAATTGGTCACAAATTCAGTTGAATGTTCCGTGATGTGGTGCACATCAACAAATCTCTGAAAATCACATATTAATGTTTTAAGAAGTTCTTCACAGTTGTTAAATTCCAGTATTATTATGTCAACTCATGTAAACAGGTACAAGTTCATAGAAAAATTATTGTCATTTTTTTTATTAAAAAGAGTTCAATTAGCCCTTCAGGAAAGAAAAAAAATCAGGAAATTAGGACAAAAATAAAGTTTATTAAAATTTTGTAGTCGGTATGTAACCAAGATTTATTTGTGGAATTTGAGGTAAAAACATTGCTCCAGCAAGGCACTAGTAGCAAGAAATAGAAGTACGCCATGTCAGTCGCCATGCCACCTTAGGGTACATCAACAATAATTTTATACTTTTCCCATTACCGTATATGGTGCATAATGAACAAGTAAAAAGGAGGAAAGTGCGCATATGTTTTTTTTGTTTACTTTTCTACTCAGATGAATGAGCTACGTAAGGGTAACTCACGGGCCGCCATGCACCCAATACCCTTTAGCCTTCCGTCCATGTCTGGTGTCCTGGATACCCTCAACATGATCAATGGCGTCTTCTTCATCCCCATCAGGTGAGAGACATGATCCCAAAGTGCCAGTCTAGGGTGAAGGCAACCTCACTCTCAGGGTACTGAGATTTCTACCAAAACATGTTCAGTTGTAAATTGACCAGCAAAGAAACCAAATGCAATTCCATCACCTAAAATCATACCGCACTCTGTGTTCACAATTCAAGGATATTTACGGTACTGTTATTGGAATAGTGTATGCTGCGTTTCTTCTGTTTCAGTATCAAGTCCAAGGGACTCGCCAAAACTACTACCAAAAGTAATGCTGTTAAAAGTGAGGAGGGGCAATCAGTACCCAAACAAGATACTGAAACCCCCTCTGATAGCAAAGTGGTATCGCCCGGTCCCAGCTCTGGTAAGGCATCACCCACCCTGGAGACAGAAGGCTCCACCGAAAAGGGGGAGGTGGTGAGGTAACCTTCAAGTTCCTCCATATAGAAAGGGTATTTTGTTTTTCTAAGGGGAAGGAATTTACAGCATGCTTTTCTCGTAAGGGGTTTTCCTTGTTTTTTTGGGGGGGATGCATGCTGTAATCTGTTGGATGGAGAGCAGTGGATGGTACAACTGGTCTGATCTTCATTCCGATTCCTGGTTGAGTTGTGTGTTGGCACTCCATTGACCATTGTCGTGTAGTTGATGGTAGACCTTGTCATTTGGAGCAAGTAGTTGATGACTCCCTGGAGCATGTATTTTTGACAGATGGGCATTATGGTGCACACTGATATGGATAGATCTCAGTGACTTTTCTTGAAAGAGGAACTTCCTTGTTCAGAGAGAGTGTCATGAGAGGTCTGTATTTTACTGAAAATTGAATGTGTTGCCTCATGTCACAAGCTGAGCATCAGATTTCTGTTAATTATATTTTCATCACAATCACATACTACTAAAAAAACCACAACCTGTTGTTTTTTCATTACCGATATTAAGTTATCAGTGTTAGCCCAACACATAACGAATGTCTTTGTTGGGTCATTGTCGCCAAATTCAGCACTGTGCTCCTGAATTGTGCGTAAAGTCAAACAATAAAAAAGAAGTTTGAAGATGTATAATACTAGTGGAATGATGGAATATTAATGAAAGGAGTATATTTAAACCCAAATATTTTTAGAAATCTAAATGATTTAATGAAGATTTAGCACTTCCAGCTTAATCCGGTCCTTTAGATATCATTCCCGCTTTTTAATGACAGTATTTGTTAGCGAGTGTAGTGCTGGTGTAATATAATTTGGACCATGCGTCTTCCGAACGTGTTTCAGTAGATCCATCCTGTTTTCTTGGTGTTTGCTTGTAGTGAGTGTTACTGTTTAGAGTTCTTGAAAGAGGTCAATACTGTGACCAACAATTGTGTAAAATACTAGAGATTTAGAACTTCACTCAATAATTTATTTTGGCCCCCAATAATTCCAGTGATGTCATTTCTGAAAGTTAAGAAGTTGATCTTTGGGAAAACAGTTGCATGCTATCGAAAACTTCAGTTTGTTTTTGCAAAAAAAAAAAACGAAAAAGGAAAAAACCAAAACAAGAAAAAAATAAAAACCCAAAAGAAAATTTGACACGCATTGAAGTGTTTTTATTTCTTCCAAAGCTCAAGAGACAGCCCTATTTTTGTATATGATAACCTGTAACAAATTGATACATATCCCTCCTGGTTCAGTGGTTTTTAGTGTTGTTCTATGCAACTTTATTGGTGTTGGGTAGTTGGCTTGGTTTAAACGTTGATTTTCACTTCAGGGAGAGTTACCAGGATTTTCTGAAAGGATTCTGTCCTTTTTCTTACTGTTTAATGTTAATTGCAGAGAATTTTGTCGGAGTAAGTGATATAGTGTTTCCCATACTAACCTAGCTAGGCCATTGTGGAACTTTGTGGCTTGGGGCAAATTTGGCCGCTTGAATACAAGCAATGGAGGCCATTTCTGAAATTGCTTTACCGTGTCTAGCGTGGCTTCAGATCCCTCTCAGGCAATGAGCCATTTATATTTCAGTGTTTGGACAAAATGAAAAAAATTGTTTTCCGTAGCGAAAGAGTTGGACCAGTATAGAGCCAGTTCAGCGACAGGGATTTAAAAATCAAGATCAGAGGTAAATTTGAACATGAAGCGCAACTTTGGTGTGGGTGTCCAATTCCGGCCAACTTGCTGAGCATGTGCAGAGCATTCCAAGCTCTTGTTGTTTGCACTTCCTGTTTCCGTACAGGACATTACAACAGTGTGGTATGAGGCCAGTCGTACTGGCTGCGATAACCAGTGATGTACACGTGCATAGGCCAGATAGTGTTGGTTTGGCATGTAGCTAGTTTAGTTTGACCAGATTCATGTACCGTAGTCAGTAAGCAGTGGCAGTACATGTAGATCCTGTAATGCCAGCTTACATGTTCTTTTTTGGGGGAAAAGTTGCATTCTTCCAGTAGGTTCTGCTACAGATTGAAGTCAGACTGATAAAATTCTGAAGCATTTTTGCAGTTTATTTGTTGCGAATTGTATACTGCATGATCTGTTTGGAAAACTATGAATGCTAAGCGTAAAACAGAAGATTGGGTGGAATAAAAGAGAAAAATGTTGAAGCCATTCAGATATGGAGAAGAAAAAGTTACATGTCTAAAAACATGATCATTGTGACAATTTTTCCTCTTTACATAACAAAATTAACTTGATTGTAGGATATCAAGAGCCATAAAACGGTTGAAAATTGTGCCAATTGTAGTCAAAGGTGACTTGAAGTTTTTGCGCAAGCACCTTTTCTGCAGGGACAATGCAAAATACAGCTGTACATACAGGGCTTTCCACTGGTATGCAAGGAATTTAAATGGTAACTGTTGATAAGGGCAGGTGGGAACCGGTGAGGCACATGGAAGTGCTGATCACATAGGCTAGTTGTGCCAAAGTCATAGAGTCCTCCACATACTCAACTAAACCTAATGAGGTGGTGCAGTTGGAATTAAGCTCAAATATACATGTACGTCTGCAAGCCAAGCGATGTGTTTGTGGAGCCCCCCTCACCAGTAAAGACATAGGCAGGTGCGGGAACGTTTCAACGTGGTGCGTTGTGAATGCAGGAAGACTGCGCATTCCAACAGAAGTTGGTCGCACATGCTCAACACATCCCCTCCCCCCAGGGTGCTTGAAGTGAAACCAGTCCACACTTTATTTGTTCCCACCAAAAGCATGTCGTTGCTATGCAGAAACATTCCATTCTTCCCTCAAAGAGCTGATGTGGACCGAGTGCCCTGATTTTTAGGAGTATGGGTGTCTGGGAAGTTGAAAAAATTATGTAAAAATGCCTTGTTGTAGTTAAATACTTTTGGAATACCAGGTACACTGCCAGAATGTTGAACTGGTTTAGGAGGAAATAAAGCTGGAGTACATGGGCATTTGATGGTAGATGCGCAAAGGTAAGATTGCAAAACAAAGTTGAGGCTTCAGACACTCCCCGTTGTGTAGAGTTTACATTTTATCAAGGAGGAAAGTACTCAGCCGGATACTTTTTTGAGCACTAATGTCATTAAAACTTAATTATTAAGCAGTGAATGTCTGAAGTCATGTTATTTTTTTAATCTTACCTTTGTTTTTGTTTTTACAGTCTTGTGCTGGTATTCTCCAGCTTTGTTCCCTTCTAACCTGCTCGATATATGACACAAGAAAGAAATACTCGGAACTCGACTACAACACTTCTGAAAAGGCTACACATTTGCACAAGAACACAGATTCAGCCATGCGTGAGGGTCCCTTTACAAAATTCCTTTGACATTCTCAAATTCTGATTCCTACCACGCACAAAAGCCGGAGTGCTCGGACCACACTTTTTTTGTTTTTAAACTTAATTTCTGCTATACCACCTTTATTTTGTGTTGCCTGATTGATTCAGTATAAAAGGGAATCTGGTTTCTGTCCTCATTTTTGAGGAAGGGCAAGGCTGCTTTTCACCCAAGCAAACATTGCTACCTTTCAGGATCTTTTGTTTTTGTGTGTGCATACATTTATCACTGGGAAAGCATTGATGAATGGTAGTCACATCCATCACAAGTCTAGTCCCACTCCTTGTACATGACCAGTCACTGGTAACAGGCTAAACAGTAACAAAGAATGGCTCTGTCACAGTTCATTGGAGCATCTTGTGGCTTAGACTGGATGACTTGCAATGGACTTACAGGGACTTGAGGTAAACTAGCTTACAACAAACAATGTTAGGAATGTTTACCTATTAAGTGGAACACAGCTTTGAACTCGTTTCTCTGTTCACTAAACCCAAACTTGGTCAAGCGTGTAGTGATTTTATAGATGAACTTCCCCCTTCACCCGCACTGCTGGAAACAAATGTTGCAAACACATAGCATAGAGTTTCTTTAAATCAGCTGCAGACTTTCTATGTGATGTCCGTGTGGCAAGATGGTATAGCACCCTCTTGAGCCCTCAGCATGTGTATGTTGTCTATAGGATATTGTTTCCGTAGTGTACATAGACATGCTACTTTTGCTTAAATGTAGTTTAGTTGAATACAGATGGACAAATGGGTTGATCTTCTTTTCAGAAATAACACATCTGCATCAGATGTGTTTGATAACTAAGAATATTTAATATAAATTTTGCCAGTTTCCTATTTTGTTTAATGTTAATAGTTCACAGTATGCTGTGTTAAGTGTCTGATTTGAGTTAAACACTTTTGGAAGGTTTGTTGAATGGTTGTTAATTCCAAAGAATTTGTAACACGTTCAGTTATATTCTTTTCAAGGAACATATTTCTTTTAAAAACGTCTTTGTTTAGTTATAATTTGTATATGAACAATTGCTTTCAGGAACTTCGTGTTGTCGCTGTTTGAAGTATGGCCATAGTTGAATCAGCTGGTCTATGGAAATGACTTCGGTTTTTGCCAATAGCTCTCTTTGGTGAAGAGTCTAAGGTGTAAACATGGTAAACAATGAGGCCTGTGTCAGACATGACTAGTCAGAGTAAACTAGTCACCAGCCTGGGGACAGCGGCTAGTACATTTAGTACCATGGCCGTGGCTTCATCTGAGGCAACTGCTTGGCCATGTTGCTGCAGCTGTGCAGCTGTGGCCACAAATAGTGCAGTGGCTTTGCTCTCCTCCCTCTATGCTATGGCTATGGCTGTGGCTGCAGCTATGGCTATGACGACAATAGCTACCATGACATAGTGTGCACAGTTTAAATAGAGGCTGTTGCTAACAACAGTGGGGGGGTTATTTGCCCAATATTATACTGCAGTAATCTGTCTGGATACTACTGTCAGATTTATAAAAAAACACTTGAATACCTATCACATCTTGTGTGTTAAAGTACTTTTACATATCATGCATGCTTTCCCACATGAAGCTTTTCTGCCTTTGAAGTGGAAGTGCATTGGAACATAAGCGAAGAATTTTGTATGTGTGTATACAAGCCTCGATGAAGGATGGTGTTTTACACAATATATATGCAAAATGTCTGTGCTTGTACGGTGCTGAAAAGTATGATCCCATGGTACATGCACAACACTGTGGCTGGCAGAAGGCGGCACAGGAGTCCATCACAAGCCCCTGTAAGTCCGTCACATCATCCACTCGTAAGCTAAGTCATAAGACATTCAAATAAACTGTGGCAAGAGTTTTCCTTTGTTGCTGCTCAGCTTTCTCCTTGTGACTGGACTTTCGGAAGGACTCGTGATGGCCAGTCTTGTGATGGACTCACCCACAGTCATACAGGCAGAGCCTTGCAAAAAGGCCTAGCTGCTTTAACTGGCTGATCCCATTAGACAGTCTGGTCACTGTTCTGTATCACCATCAGTCAGCCTACAGTTCAAAATAACACCAAGTAAATTCATTTGTTCTACCTCATTATTGACGCTACGAAAATTTAAATTGACGTTTTTCCACCTGACTTTTTTTGTTGTCATGAGAAGGAATTGCTGATGAGAAGGTTCATGTGAATATATGTAGGTTGTATACAAACATTTAGGCTATGGTTACTTGTAACCCATGCTCAGTGGAAGGTGGATGCAGCCATGAGCGGTGCTCATGTTGTTTATAGCCATGACTTTTGGACATAGCCATACTTTGGAACCAAGCATTGGCCAGCATTGTGAAGCAGTATGATTTGATTACAAGATTTAACAGAATATTGTTTGAGTCAGTGCTTCGAAGTTCAGTCTAGTCTAAAGTTTCTTGTCAATATAAAAGCTAATTTTGTGTCCGGTTGGGGATTTTATAGAACAGTAATTTGTGTGTTCACCTGCAAAACTGGTGACATTTTAATTAGGACTTCATGGAAAATTAAAGGTCATAATAAGAGTTGAAGGTGCTTCTTAACACTGCCATACATATGGGGTGGGATGGGACATAGGGCTTGGGTATGGGGTCCTAGGACTTGGGGTATGAGTTACGTGTACTAAACAGTTGTGTCATCTAAAGATACTAGATATTGATGTGGAGTGGGAAAGGTTATACATTTGCAGTGATGTGATGTTTCCTGGTTCTTGTTTGAGGAAAACGATACGTTTTCATACTTTCAAACGAAAGTTTACGAAGCATAACGACTGACTGCGTTATAGCAGTCGCCCACAGCAATAAGATAAAAAGGTTTTGGTCAGTGTGGTATGTTCAGTCAACATTGTTTTTTTTCCCAGTGTCTGATTTTAAATAATTGTCATTCCTTCAGTACACTGCGAGGGAGCTGTTTTCACTAGAAGACTATAACAGGTAAACGGTCACCTTTCAGGAGTGTAGGTAAAGGTTAGATTTACTTGACAAGGTTAACATGCAGACTGTAATCTTTGCGCGCGTTAACATGTAGTTGCCATTTCATGTTAATTTCAGGTAGGATTGAATGCGGTAAGTAGTAAAATATGCATCAGTCATCCAACATGGTAACAGAGGAGAGTACACAAATCCGACCTGTAGTTTTGGAAATGAGAGGGATTCTTGGTGCCAGAGTATTTTCAAATGAGTTCCTTTTAGCAAGTGTTAAAGTCTGTTAAATACAACTTATATTCCACTGTTTTGGGAGTATTGGGTGTGGTGAGTGCGACACAATGTTGTACATTTAGTTTAGGAATAGGAATAATTAGTTTACATTTTTGGTGAGAAACAGTTGGGAGTTGCCCATGATTCTGTCAGTTTGTGAAAAGCATCCAGCACTTTTCACGCAGTGTTACCCTATTCAAATCCTTGTGTATTTGAACTCAGCCTGCAGTGCACATGTATGAGCCGACTGGGTCACACCTACAACCTTTTCCCTCCAATCTTGCTGCAATTTTTCTTCATTGTTTTAACAAAAGAAACAAAATTTGGCATATTGGCAGGCTAACAATTTCACCAAGTACATGTAGATTTATATATACATTTTACTGTTTGGGTTTTTTTGGGGGGCTGAATTAATGGGAACCCATCTTGTGCTCGGTGTGAAAGAAAATTCAAAGGCAAACTGACATCACAAAGCACTTGTGTGATATTGAAATGTTTATATTGATAGCAAAATCAAAAAGTATTCACTTTTGCAAATTCGAGTCACCAATATTTTCTGTGATGTCATAAAGTTACATCCATGTTTGCTTTTGTGCTGAGTGGAAGGTGACCTTTAATCTGTGGTGTTGGTTTCACTTTCCCTTCTTTTAAATTAAAACATGTTGAAATGGAGATTTTTTTCTTTCTTTAGTAAGGGTTTATTTTATAAATAGTCAAGGTTCAAGTCTGCTGAACTTGGAACCTGACTAATACCAAGAAGTACTCAAGGAGTACAGTTTAATAAGCACACTTTATGACATATTCAAGAAAATGTAACAAAAAAATTGAAATGAAAAATTGTTTTTAAATAGTGCATTGATCTTTATCGAATAATTGACTGACCTCCAATTAAAGGACAGTAGTTGGAACTGTTTATTTCGGAGTTATTATTAACAATTCGTCACTTAGGCATATTGGAATGAATGGTGTGTGATTTCCCCTTGTTCTAAAGAATATATACGCATTTGAGAATAAATTGTATTGATTTGAAATGAACAGATGTTTCTCTGCTTTGACACTCCTTATCTTTCGACCGTTTTACTCTGGTTCTAGACAGTGTCACCTCTTTAAGGTTGAACTCTAACCACAGAGTTAGTTTGGGAAGCATTGAAGTGACGTGAATATTGTGGTGTGTTCCAGGAAAATGTTGTTTCAGTACCATTAGCCTTTCCAAGCACGGTGGATACCATAGAGTACCAAAATGTGACGTCATTAAGAACCAGAAAGTGCTATACAAACGAATGGAGTGCACACGTGTTGGTTCACATGCTGGTGTTGTGCTATTGCTGTTTACACACATAATTGAGCACATGACATGGTCACCACGGTATTCTACATGAAGGCCCTATTTGAAGTGGGTAAATACAAAGTTGGAACAAAAGATTGTACCCAGACCAAATAGAGCCATATTCATGACAGAGCCACAGTGAAACTGATGAGGTAGTCTTGGTGCAAGACCTTATTGTTTGTAATGGATTATACATCATTGCCGAAAGATGGCTGTAACAGTATCACACTACAAACCTACATCAAAATGTAAATTTTGTGGGGACCAGAACCATTGTGGTCTCAACTTTTCTGACAAATGTAAATGTCCCTTCAACATAGTGGAGACCCACCATCATCACATTGTATGAATCACGACTATATATCTTTCCGAGCAGGATAGGTCAAGGGACTCATTCACCAGAAGGCTGACCATAGGCACATTATGGGAGGGACATAACGGTCTTAAGGGGCAGGCTTTTGTTTCATTCATTTGTGAAATCAAGGAAAGGAGTATAGAGGGATTTCTTATTTCTGCGCATATCTGCATCCAAACCGAGGCTCTCTGCGTTGAACTTCATCGTGCGCGCCCGCGGAGTCCACACAGTACATGGAGTATTCAGTTCGTAAGTGTGACGCCGCTTCAGTTTAAACCACGCCCACTGCATACGATACACGACCATCGCTGGTATGTTAGTTCCCGGTCAGTTGTCGTTATTTTTTCTTTTAATGTTACGTGTCGTCCTGAAAGACTTTTCCACAAAAATTTGCAGCCTGGAAAGTCTGAATTTAACACCCTTATGTATTTTGTGTCTTGACTCCTTACTTTCAATCGTCTGATCCTATTAAGAATTGAAGCTGACACATACAGCCTCGTTTTCAAACGTGGAAGTGCACAGATCGACGCTAAAAGCATCGTTTTGGGAACCATCTATAACGGAAAACAAAATGGAGTTGGTGAAACCGGGATACACAACAAAGCCACACTAACAGGACAAGTGTGTCGTTTTTAATCAGCAGGTATAACATTCACAGCTTTTTTACACAGTGAACAGTCTGTTCATATAAGCAGTCCCAACCACACAGTAGGTTTAAGACAATCACAGGAAGGATTTTTGCTATCCGGGTCAATGGGAAATCATGAAACGTGGGGAGATGATTGATAATTGTTTGCTTCCAAAGAGAGGTAACTGCCGGTGATTTGAAGTGTTTTGCTTGTAAAGATGAGTCACTGCTAATGTGTTCTAATTCTTCAAACCCCATTCAAGAACTAAGTTTCCAGACAATGTGGTTGCCGATAACACAGCTTGGTACATGTACCTACAACGCATCTGTCTTCAGATAACCACACATATAACTTAGGTCACTATATAATGAGATAATCAGGAAACATACAATTACAAAAAAAGGGAGAAAAAAATTGTCTGCTGCTGTTACAAATATAATCGGTAATTAACATAGTAGAGATATGATTTCACATCAATTATGAATTAAACATCAAAATAAATAACTACACGTAAAAATTCATGCTTCCAAAAACAAAAGGCAATCTTTGTCAATGCTACACTGTACACACTGCACCTCGGAAAACCCAATGTCCAATTCTGTAAATGTCTGACGGATTATAGATGTAGTATTATTTTACGTACTGAATTAGAAATAATTAAAAAAAATTAAATGAAAACGTACATCCACAAAACACAGTTATTTCGTCGGTGAAATTCAACTTCCGGGCACCGATGTGGTGAAACTTGGAAGCAGAAACACTGCTTAACACATTAATATGGGTAAGCAATAATCATCCGGGAACCAGTCACAAGCAGTGCACATTGCATGGAATATACTGGCTGGTAACCTGCTGCTGTTGAGATATTTTATTCTCCCCCCGACAAGTCTGGGGAATGGACCTTTTTAGGGAAAGCCATTTTTTATCGTGTTCACTGAATCTATCGTAGTTGGTGGAGCCAGACAGTTTTGGAGTCCAAACCTCACTTTCAGTTTTTATTTTACAGTGTGGCGTAAATGTTTAGACACATAATCACAACTTCTAATTTAACAAAACTGGCATTAATGTGTTATCTTGTTTTGTTGCTGTTCTCTTTACTCACAGGTTCCAAAAATGAAAAAAGTTAACCTCACTTTCAATTCAAGATAATTGAAGACTATAGGGCCTAGATTAAGCACATAAATTCATTAAAAAAATAAATTCATTTCCAACTTCTAAGAAATCACTTTTAAGACGACGGAGAGCGTATTACTTTGTGTACACATGGGGACTTTCCATTTAATATCTTCGAGGTTTCCCCTTCGTTTCAAAATTGAGATTATTTGCTTTTTTATCAGACTTCTTTGGTCAGCTTGGCGCTCTGAACTTTCAAATTTCTGTCCACAATTCATGTCTGGTGCCTCATGAGTGGAAACAAAATTTTCCATGAAAATGCGGTGAATATACGTGTACTTCTTTATTTCCTACAATTTTGATTGGTACCCACTACACATCACTCATGCTCAAGACTACACGTACTTGTTTCTTTACTGCAGAAATGGTTTTGCTTGGAAAATTCGGGCAGTCTACCCGCCAAAATAATCATGCAATGTGAATTGACAGAGACTGGTTCTCCATAGTCTGTTTGCTTCAGCTCAGCACATAACTGTATCCCGGCAACAGGCCCGTGCTAGATTTCACAGTTTACCAGCACACTCACAAGTCTGTTTCCTACCCAAAATTCAAGATGAAATTCAATGTTTGTTGAAAATAAAAAGTGGGTATTCAAATTTGTTTATGGGAATCATCAAACTCTAAAAAATTTGAAATGCAACTTTTTTGCAAACATCATGAACAGTGATGAAAAGGAAGGGAAGTGTACCAAATTTTCATTAGCAAAAGCTTGTTTCTACTGTCAGTTTTCCCAGTTTACTTCAAAGCTTGCGACTGGTTTTGAAATATTTTTTCAAGCACCCCTGCCCTATTTATATCATACACTGAAAACTGAAAGCCCACACACTGAGTACGAGATTCCAAAGGTTAAAGGTTACATATGACATGAGGGAATAATTACTGCCCGTGGATATCCTTCAACTTGCTTTATATTTAGATGGTAGGAGAATCATTGCAAAATCAAGCTGCTTTCTAGGCCAACAGGACCATTTGCTTTTTATAGTTTGACCTGTTTTATGTATTTATTTATTTATTTGGATAAGAATTGCAAGTGATCCTCTGGCCATTAATAAGTCGTTAGAGATTACACCAACAGTGTCACTTTTACACTGACCGCATGCACATGTACACTCAGCTCTAGGACAGTCATATAGATGCTTGCACAACAATTAAACTTTGGCAAACCACCTTGAAGCAAACTGTACTGATCACCGACTTTCTAAGTATTACGCTTGGATTTTTTCTATTACTTTTTTTTGTACAGATGGTGTTGTGCAGTCTGTACATTGCATGTACTACGTGCATACTAAGTTTAAAGCCATGGACATAAATTGCCAGTTTGTATCTTCTAGAGCAAAGATTTTTGAAAAATGAAAAAAAAAATTAACCGAACTTTTAGACCCAATTATTCAAAAGAGGGCAGAGTACAAGTTATGGAATTACATACGACTATAAGGCTTTTTTTTACTGGTGCCCTGCTCAGTGTGTCAGCAAAAGGGTTTTTTCCCAGCACTGCCCTCAGCAATTCAAAGAAATATTTCCAAACGCCCTAATCAATTAAAAAATAAGTGTAACGGTCATACACATACAAGTACACCCACTCTGAGTCAATTTATATCAGAGGATGGAAAGCTCAGCATGACAAGGATGCGATGTCCCCTATTGACACGATGGAGAAAAAAAAAGAAAAAGACGAAGACAGTACTTGCTCATGTCTTCTTCATCCCCTATGTCGGTAAAAAATTATCCTACGAATTGTTACATTCCGTTTACTCTAGGTCTTGTCTCTGGCAACTGGTGGGAGCCGAATATCATGGCGGCAATTCACGGTCCTACATAGCTGATTACACTACGTAACAAGTTAACATCAAGTTTATTACATGACACTGCCATGCTACACATGGGCAATGATAATCCTTTTTAAAGTTCTGTACAAGTTACGTCCCTCTTAATCAGCATACTTCCTTTTTATTTTATACATTGACAAGACGTACTCAGCAGGACGTGGCTACTATAATTATCATTTTTTACACTGAAGATTTGTTTAAGCTTCAAGGCTATGAGCGTACGTCATTAATAAAGCACAGCAACACTCTGTTGTCTGTGTTCACAAGTCCAAGTATAACAGCTCAAAAACAAAAATGGATGAGTTTCAAAAGAGAGCAGCAGGGCAATGTCACGTTTTCATCTGGAAACTCTACTTGCTCATTTAGATCAGCATTCTTGACACTTTGTCAAATTTGTACTAAAGCCCGGGCAAAAAAAAACAGTTTGGGCTTCCGTATCCGAGTATTTGAAACTTCAACTCGGAAACACATGGCCACATCTGCAGAGTTTGGAATTCTGATACTCTGTCTGTCAGCTTTTCAGCCCAGTTAATGCCGTGCACTGGGACTCTTAGGTAACGGCAGCTGTTTTTAGTGTTCAGATTTTTCCACCAAAACATTTGTCCGAATATTTTTCAGTTTCAGAAATCCAAGAGGGGGGGTTCCGAACACTGCCAAACTGCTCTCTTTTTAAAAAGTTTAGGCTAACGAAAACAGAGGTCCTACAGCATGTTACATTGATCAAAATACAGTCTGCAGTAGTCATACAAACACCTAGCTGAATGTACACGTTTATATAGATAACATTAGATAAATACTTGACTCCGCCCACTGAACCTTGACCTTTTGTTTGCATATTGATATAATACACTTACACAATATCTTACTGGAACCCAAAAATATGAGATATCATTTCTTAAGTCATTAGCTTTATATTATTGGGGGAAGAAAAAAATTTACAATAGTTTTTCAGTTGCAATTATGAATGAAGGAAACAATACCCTCCAAACGATGGTCAAATGGGAAAGTTGGATGTAAGAGTTTTGGAAAAATGAAGCACAGCTACGGTTACTAATCTTCAGTAGAGCAGCATTTTACCAAAAGTACATGACTGAAATGTGCCAGAACAGTCACGGTGAGATTAGATAGTGACGAACTTCAGCGCAACGCTTGAATTCTAACCTCCTGGCAGCATTTTCAACAACTACGCTGCAACTGAACTGTGCATGACAAGTGAATCAAGCAAGAAGTTCCAAAATTGTACAGGTTGATGGTCTAAAAGTGCACCAGATACATATACTAGGAAATTTCCACAAAATTTTGACAATTGAGTCAGTATGGCGTAGTTAAATACATGTCTTTTTTTAACGTCTGACATTTTGTAGAACTTAGGAGAATGTTGCTATACGTGTTGCACATTTATTAGCAGCTTTTAACACAGTCAAGCCTATAATTAATAACGTTGTACCCTTTGTAAGACAAGTTGCCCAGATAACGCTTGTGGCCCGATTAGGAATGGTATCAGTACAGTGGGCACACCAAAGACTGGTCCGCTGATGCAACAAGAACTGTCATAGTGCAGTTATAAGCTGTTGGAAGTCATAAAGATGCAACATGGTGCCCAGATGCGATTTGTCACCCAGTTAGGGATTCTCCAAGAACGGCATTGCTGAAAGCTGCGCGGCAGACCTGAATATCCATTTGGGCAAGCACGCTTTGAGCAATGACTGCTTTAGGCTAGTCCTTTTCTACAACTTGCACATGGTCAGTTGTGGACCGCCTGACTTGTAATGCGGGAAGTCAAGACAACAGTAGCATGCGAGTTCAAGCACTCCCATGAAAAAGGTTGTTCTGCCGTCACTGAAATTAAGCCTTACATTCCTCAATGCAACCTGTGTTTCAACTCAGTACCCCCCAAAACCTGAGAAGCAACTGCTTTGGTGCCAGCGAGTGAGCCAACCCCAGGTCGGGATTTGCAACCACGAGTTACTAACACAAACAGTCCTTCGTCAAGTTGTCCCCTGGGCCTAAACACAGCCGACAGCCAATGCGAGATGAAAACCAAGTGCTACAATACGCATTCGGAGTTGGAATCCGCGCTCACACGAGTTACGTTCCCGCGCGCGCATCCCACACTGCCGCCACTGAGCCACAATCCTCACAAGTACTGATACCATTTCTAAATAGGGGGAGGGCCCACCATTCTATGTTGGGTCATTAGACAACAGCCCATCGTGCAAGCATGCCTCTTAGTATTAAAGATTTTTCACGTTATTTCCTCTGGGCGTGCTTCCAAGGTTACCGTTTCGAGATACATGTATATAATATGTGGGTATCGAGAGTTGCCTTTGCATCATTAACGGCACTCCCACACTTTGACGGTTAGGTCCACACTGCCGCTGATGACAAAGGGGGCAGACTTGTGGAAATCTGTTGACAGAAAAAGAGAACAAATAAGTACCCATTACTGGAAAACGGTTCTATATAAACTGTCTTGAGAGTAATGGTTCAAGGTTAAATGATGGCAAGCATCACTTGCTTTTGAGGCATAGAAAAAGGCTGCATGTTGATGAAAGAAAACACAAGTGTTAGTGATATTGGTGACTCTAACTGGGACTGTGCCTTAGTTCCTCTTCCACAGAGAAGAAAGACAGGTTATGGACACTTAAGCTCCCCTATGCCACTGCACATCCATCCTAAGGTGTGATTCTCGGCAAAGATGCTCCCATTTTGTGCACATTCCCCTGAAAATGTGGTGGACCTGTGATGCATCCTCACACGGCGGCTCCTCAGAGCAGCATAAACCAATAAAGTCTACTCTTACAGCAAAATGTCCACAGACTAGAAAGTCGACTGAACGAGCTTCAAGGCAGCCCTGACTTACCGAGTGAAGTGACAAAGTGGGAGTGGGCGATGAGCGTCTTCTGGCAGCGCCTGTTCTTGTAGTCCCAGACCTTGATGGTCTTGTCGTCGGACGCGCTGATGATGTACTTGCCGCCAGGATGGAAGAGCACACCTCGCACCCAGTTGTCATGTCCAGTCTGGTTGGCAGCAATGATGAACAGGTGAAATGGGGGGAAGGGATTAACAATAATCCATGATACATCTGGCAGATGATGAGAGTTTTTAGGACTTTCAATAGCTTATGAAGGGCCAAATTCTCTCAAAAATTACTCTGATTAGGTGGCTCTTGCAACTGGTTTTCCACACAAAGTGCTTGAAAGTGGAAAAGCTGTATGACTGAAAAGCTTAAAAAATGCCACAACTTTGGAGTAAACAAATACAAACGCCCCAGCCGCCGTGCCCATGCTTAAACCCATAATTTCAATTTGTGATGACTTTAAAACCATTTCCACTAGGCAATCATTTCTATTATAAGCATAGTGAACTTGACCTTAACCTATGAGGTCCGAACTCAAAAGGCTTCCAGAGACACCCAAGACCGACCCTCAAACCAGTTTTAAAGTTAATGTGCCCAGTTTTGGGGTTTTTTTTTCATTCAGCATCAATCTTTCGAAAACCCTCCCAAACTGCCGGAGCTGGAAAACTGAGGAAGGTTAGGGTTAAGGTTAGATTCAGTGTTTCAACATACCAGGGTGATGATGCAGACACCGGCGCTGACGTCCCAGACCTTGATGCTTTTGTCTCGTGATCCTGACACCAGGAATGGCCCTGATCGCTGGTTCTTCTTTGTCTGTTGGGAAAAAATTTGATACTCAAATGTAAATGCCATATTTGTATTACGACAGCTGTTTGTGGAAAAGGCTAAAGGAGGCTTAAGACTATAAAACAGTAAAACAACGCAATCAGTGAACAGCTACGAAGAACCCTTTTCTGTACACTAGTGTAACAGACACTTTTCAAAATCTGCAGAAGGTAAAACTCTTTAGGAACTACACCGCTGCTCGTGGATACTTAATTCATCCGTTCAACATGTCTCTGAAAAACTTTAAATATTGGCTTTACAACTCGAAGTCATAATATGAGATACTTCAGTCAAGTAACCCCACCTCCCCCCCCTTGGGGGTGGGTGGGTTTATTTATTTTGGAATGTGTCCTCAACTTGGACTTCGGGGGAGGGGGAAATCGTGTCTACAGCTGTAAAAACAGCCACAGGAATTAAGTGAGATGGAATGGCATTACAGCAACAATTGATTAGGCAAAGAACATGTAGTGTGTGCACCAATCTACCCAGAGCTACAAAGAAAACACTGACAAGAAACATGCACTGTGCTGAAATGTTGATGAAAGTGTGCTTGACAGGAATTTTGAAGGGGCAACTGGGGCAACGTGAAGAGGTAGAGTTTCTCAAAGGTACGGGGCAGCAATAGTGACGACTGAACTATGGTCACAAGAGTGCTGAAACAGTACAAACAAATAATAATAATAATAATAATAATGAACGCAGAGAACCTCAAGAAAGAAACCTCAACAAAAGTGGATTTCCCTGAATGAAGTCTAGAACCTTGGAACAGAAAAGGCCACCAAATGACAACGTGATCAAGCAAAAATGACCCCACAAAATCCAAACAGAAGATGAGACACACACACCAAAGTGAAAAACCACTGGAAAAGCTACGAGTGGAAAGCCCAACACTGCCAATGCTACAAACAGGCACTGTAGCATTGAAGATTCTACACACAATCATACCACGGCTACCATGAAACACAGGCAGTACATGCTAATGCATAGAATTATCTGGCTAGTTATTAGTGCTATTACCGGCTTGCCGTCAATATTGTTAGCCACAGTTAGCTTTGAAAAAAGATAGTGAATTCCGAAGTTAAAATACAGTTGCTAAAATCTTATACTTTTCAAATTAAAAAAATAAATGGAAAGCAAGCGGTCATTGCTTATGGCAGTACAAGTGACTAAAAATTTCTGATAAATTACATGAATACTATAAACTGCATGTTATGTAGAACTGACCAATGTATGTGGGAATAGTTTAGCCTAATAACAGCCTAGTCCAATCGTTTGTGATTGGGTCTCAGCCGGATCTACATTGATCATGTTGATAAGCCACATCAGATATGCAAGTTTTCATTGAAATCAGAGTCATGAGTGCTTAGAACTGATTTTTGCCGAGCTGCGTATCATTTTGAAACCAGGTTAACCACCCAAAATGCCGTGTAAAGTTAACAGCAAGTGACTGGTTCATTGCTAAGTTTGGCTCGGCTCACAAATTTGCTGAGCCACATTATCCCCCCAGCAGAGCCACAAACCTGGCCCAAAGTTCACAGTTGGGCCGTGAAACAAAACCTCACCTCTGCACCGATGGCTTCATTGATGGTGGGATGGGCGCATTCGGGAGCCCAGCTGACACACTCCACCACGTGGTCATGCTCTCTCAGTTCCAACTTGCATTCCTTGGTGGCTACCACCCAGACTCGCACAGTCTGTCAACAGAAAACAAAGCTCATTCTAAAACTTCCAAGTGTTTACTTGAAATAGGTCAACAGGTTCAAGTACATGTACCCACATATACACCGCCGTACTTGCTGAACCTAACGCCCAACAGATTAGCTGCTTAGAATTTGATAATTTTTTGGCTTCTAATGAAAAATGCACATGAACAACAGTCCCTTTTTACCTTTAACTTAAGCAAACTTTGTGTATCATTTCTGTCATTTGCCCAATCCCCACATCGGTTCACAGAACTGCGGAGCTTAGAATTTTGGTGATCAATGAAACTATTGTCTCAGCAGAAACAAGGTACTGGCCAAAATGGTGTCTTGCTCATTTCTATGGAGATCACGTAGGTTTTCTTCTTCAACTTAGTTTTGGTTATTGTTCAGGGTCATAAATGAGCTTTTGTGGTGGATACGAGACATCTGATGGATTATTTTGTTAGTCAATGATCTTATGTAATCAAATATACAGTAGCCTTTTTCGAGCAGTGAAAATTCATTTATTTCCTCTCTTCCTGTAAAAAAATCAATTTACTCTTGCAATGAAATATTTCAATGGTTTATGTTGCACTGGCATCATGCGGTGCGGCGTCTCCATGTGAGACTACAACAAGCACAAGATTTTAACACTGGCTACGGCTCTCCACCGCTGCCTCTTCTGATCAAAATTCGAAGCCTAAGTCGCAGGACAGGACCGCATTAAGGCTACCCCTATCATGCGCTGCCCCATACAATCCCATGTATTAACTAAACTGATACACAGGCAGTGCTGGGTGCACATACGTGAGATGCTTCAATTTTTGTGCTCATTCGGCTAAAAAGTTGGTCATACATGACCATTACATAAATCACCAAGGTCACCCATGTAAAGCTCCTGCAGAATACATGCCATTAAAAGGGAAGGGCAGGTGGGAGGGGGGGAGAAGGGACGATAAGCTCACCTGGTCATTGGAAGCACTAGCCAGCAGGGAGCCATCGTGGTTCACCTTGACCATTCTCACCCATTCCCTGTGGCCTACAAAGGTCTTCACGCAGTAGCTGAGATGACAAAATTAACAGTATCACCAGTCAACAGCTTTTTCCACATTGTTGAACAGATGTCTTATTGACACCTTATCAAACACTCATCCCCCTGATATCTGTACCTAGGTGCTTAGTATTACTGTACATAGACATGGACTGCACAGAAAAAATCAACAGCATACTGGTATGAAATGTTTTTGAGGATAAAGTGAGGGATATTGGGATCAACCCCAATCCCCTAGGGTGTACTGTGTCTTAAATCATACTGAAAATGGAGAACTGAGGACTGCTGGGGTTGATGAATAAAACCCCGAAGCACAACCACATTAAAAAACCTCAATTTTGTCATGACCACTGTTTTCAAAAACCTCCAGCCAAACAACTGCTTGACACTCCTGATCCTTGGCAGACAAAACCCAACACGGCTGAAATGGGAACCTCCTAGTTGAAACAAAATCTGTGATCGTGTCCTTTTTACTGCCTAACATCAAACATTTCATGACGTTTTTAATTACATACTGCGACCCACTAATTCCAAAGACACAAAACCCCTTAGCAATTGACTTTGACTGTAATTTGCTTAATTCTGCACGATTAGGGATAGAAAGT